AGAAGGCGATAGTGGATTAGTGGATTAGAACATCAGCAATCAAGATTAGGGATTCTTGATTCATAACCAAGTAAACAGTAAAGAGAGGGGCACTCCGTCTTAGCTGTCTTCAGTATTTTTTCTAGAGCTTTTGGAGCATAGTTTCGGTAGTGAAAAATCTGTGACGAATTGTAAACGTAGTATTAGTGCAACTGAGCAGTGTCATATAGCATTTTATAATGTCGAGGAAAAAAGTGAAGACAGCCTCAAACAAGGAAGAAGATGGTAGAAGGGTGAGGTCAAAGAGTAATACGGACGAGCTCTCTCTCTATGTATTCTTACAAACATGGAATCCATGTGGTTAGAAATTTGCTGGAATGCAACACGGCAGAAGGACTTTAGAAGTACACAATTATATCCCTTTCTACGAGCGGCCAATAATTTACCATCAATCGACGTAGAATTATTGGAAGAATACTTGATGAACTATGACCCTGAGGATGATTCGAGTGTCGTGAAAGGGAAGACTATTGGAATTGATGAGAATACCTTCAATAAGATATTGCATCTATTAATAGGAGAGCTTGTGGTTGGAACCGAAGAGTCCTCAGACTTCAATCCAGGGAATTACTTCAAAGGAGGATGACGTTGCTAGAAAGGAATAAAAGATGATAGACGGCGGATGCACTTACACTAGAATTGATGGAGTGGATGCACTTCATTCAGAAGCCGTTGGGATTAAATAGACATATGACATATATAGCCAAACAATTATTATTTGCGACAATAGACTCTTTCGAGGGTATGGTGTTCAATTGGCCAACATTCGATAGTCACAAAGGTCTACTCGAATAGAAGGTTCAATTGGCGAATTGGAAAAGAATGTGAAGCAACAGCAACACCAATTACAGGCAAAAGATATCTGAATTCTGCAATTGGAAAGCCAAGCGCGAGAATTGGGTGCACGTAACAAAGATTTAACTGCCAGATTGATCATAGTATCAATAAATATATTGGACCAAGAGGACGATGATGTGCCTTTAGAATTGGAATCAGTGGATTCAAGTACGGATAATGCTGAGGAGTAACTAGTTCAGCTTCAGATTAGATATTTGCGAGGATGGTGCACAGTTAGGAGTGGGACTATGTAGAATAAGTAGTTATTTTCAAAATGTAGATACCTAGTGTATAGTGTAAACAGGGATAGATGACTGCTGAAAAGGTGGTTCAGCAGGTACAATGGATGAATAGTCAAAAAAAGTAGTTATCATCCATAGTATAGGAGTTGGCATCTTGGGGTAGTATAAAGAAGATGGAAGGGAGGAAGAAAATGCCAGACTGTGATAGTCATGAGCTGGGGTTAAGCTTGGTGCTTCCTCTTTGTTTCTTTTGTTTTATTTGTTGTTGAAGAATAATGGTTAGTTTCTAAATATTGAGAAGTGAATCTGTGGAATAAATCAGAGATTGATTTATGAGTTATTGATTATGTAATTGGAGTACTGAGTGATTGAATTATATGAGAAGTTATTAGGAGATTGAATATGGATGGAAGATTATGATTGTTGTTTATTGAAAGTTGTGTGTATGTGTTTCGATAGAAGAAGTTTGTGATTACAGGAATTTTGTGAATTCAGATAGGTTGGAGTGAAGTCTGTTATTCTTGGTGTTGGATGGAATTTATTAAATTTTGAGCGGTCTTTTGAGAGTGCATGGTTGCACATTGTGGTTATCAGTTGATGAAGGAGTATTGTTACTAGAAGGAAGCATTGTAGTGTTTCTTAGTATTTTAGTGGTTTAGAATATAGTTAATTGTGTGACCCTAACAAGTAAAATTCATGCGCTTAGTCTTTCCTTGTGTTCGAATTCTCCTATACAAATTTATTTTGAGAGGTTTCTTTTGGAATAAGTAAAACGACAATCACAATAAGCATCTTTGAAATCTTGTAGTCTTTATCAATTGTTGTATAGAAGGGAGCCAATTCTACTAAGCTCTGTATGTGAGAAGCTAGCTCTAATTGTAGAGTTACATGATCTTGATATTTGGACTCAATATCTATACGATTGGATAGAGTTCTTTAAACAAGCCATATCTATGGCTATGGAGAACTTATCTATTGCTAAATATTGTAATATTTTGTAATATTTTCATATTTATAATAAAGCTTATTGACTCCAATTGTGAAGATTTACTAAAAGAAATTATATATATTTGCAACGTGAGGTACCAACAATACTTGATATTAAGACATGTTGCACAATACCATGTCTAAAGAATGTATCGCTCAGTGGTGTTTTGTTGTTAAAAGATAAAGGTGGATAAGAATGTTGGTACTATTCAAAGAATTGTACTCCTTGTCATCTTTCTATTGATGACTCTATACATCCTAAATTGGCACTTGTGCCAATTAATCTTCTTTATTTTGTATGTAGTGAGAAGAAAGGAACTGCTATTATACTTTTATGTGATCAATGCCAACATAGGTGGCATATGGCATGTTTGACATTACTTCTTGTAACTCTCTCATCAAGAAATTGGAGTTGTCCTCGTTGTAAGAAGTCTTTTAGCCATGCCTCATCTTTTGATAAGAATTGAAGATTTCTTCTATTGATTGTGTCATACACTTCAATGGTCTAATTGCTACAACACTAACTTTGAAAGAGTATAATTTGGCATTCACATTATAGTGACATTCATCTTCAACAATATATGTTTTGTAGTCCTAGCTGATTGGAGGGGCTTCTAATCAATTAAGAAAAGGCATTTAAGAGTGTATCTTTGTAGTATAAAAGATATCTTATCTTAGTTTGGTGTAAATTTCTAATCTTTCCTTGAGAGTGTGTTAGATGTGCATTTATATTTGATTTAAATTACATACTTTATCATTTATTGATAGCACTCAATATATTGTATGTAACAATCTTTGTTTACACAACATTAGAATTTTTAAAAGAAATTTTTGCTAAAACAAAAGTAATATAAATAATATATAATACATTGTCACACACATATATATTTATCTCAATAATTACTTATATGATTAGGTAGAAGTAGGTAAATATAAATTAATTTCATAGAGTCTTCTAGAGATGCTTCTTAGAAGTTTCATAGACGTGGTTTTGACTTTAAATGTGTTTGTAGGTTAGAAACATGACTAACAAGTTAACTGCGTATAGTAGCTTGTGGAACAAGCTAACCATGTGGCACATATATAGATAACTTGCCTTTCAAGTTAAGACATAAGGCTAACAAAGTCAACACATTTTGGAGGTCCTATAGGACATCGCCATGTAGCTCTTAGTTAAGAGTATATATAGAGGCAAGAGTGAAGCCTTCTTCACTCTTATCAATAGCTTTCTAGTCCTTAGTTTTGTTTCAAGTCTTTCTCGTCTTTTTGTTTTTGGCAATAGCCATTCTAGTTTAATATTACATCACTTTTTGAGTGACTCTCTAGTTCTCTCTAGTAATATAAGAATGTATTGAAGATTTTCTTTCTTCGAGACTCATGTCCTTGATATACACCTCAATTTTAGTAACTTTCTAAAATCTTCTAAAACTTCTTAGATATTTATACCACTTCATCTAAACCTTTAAAAGACTTCAAATCTTTAAAACTTCTATAAGATTTAAGATATTCTTTTTTATTTTATTTTTTTTTAAAACTTATTATAAAAGTTTGTATTTGTCCAAAATTATTTGTATTTCAATATAAGTTTTTATAACAAATTCTTCAAACTTCTAAGAAAATCTTTTGTTCTTAAAATCTCTTCTATAAATTTCTAAAGACCTAATTGCTATAGTATAATTATAGGAACAAAACAAGAGATATGTTAATTCTACCTACTTAAAATTGGAACAATCTAAGTGTTGATTTGTTTCTTATCTTGTGTCTAAAATTATGGTTAGTTTAGTATTATAAAATGGATTCATATAAATCATAATAGATTAATAAAACAAAATATATCAAGTTTTTAGGAAGATTCATACTTACAATTTTGATGTTTTAGAAAAATACCACCGAATTTAGTTTTAAATCGACGTATTAATTAATTACATATTTTTTAATTGGCCTAATAATTGTGTCAAAATTAAAGAAGTAATAGACTTAATTTTGGTTATTTTGAAAGAATTTGTGGAAAAAATTGAAATTAAATAGATAAATAAGAATTTCTTATAAATGTTCATTGTTTAACAAAGATTCAATATACAATTTATTTATTTTTAACAAAACTATAATCCATTTAACAATTATTGTCAAATAAAATTAAGAATAAAAAAATACATATACATATGTGATATAATAAAACAAAGTCATTATTATCAATATGTTGGCTCAAATAAAACAAAATTAATAAAAGCAAATAAACAAAATATAATAAGATAATATTATTATTATCAATGTGTTGACTCAAATATAACAAAACCAAATTGTTGAGGAATTAACTACTTTAGAATGTTGGTTTATGACGTACTTATTGCATCCTAAAGAAGAAAGAAACTGGTAAATAAACCTATATCATCAGTGAATAGAGGATACAATGTATCAAGGTTGTTTGAATACATTACAGTTGATCTACTTGTAAGTATTGTCCAAATTGGTAAGACTAAAATCCTGTGTGAAGTGAGAAAGTTGGATTCTCTTGATTTTGAAGCTCGGAAGTGTGGTCTCTTAAAAATTGAAACAAATCTTTCCTAGGATGAGTCATTAGAAGTTCCAGATTTCAATATATAAACAAGTAAGCATGATCTTAGTTAGAGGTCCCCAAAAAAATTGCTTGAAGCTTCTTTTAGGAATTGAAAGCTCCACTGCAGACATTAAGGATCAAAACAACTACTAGTGAAAAATTTGTGTTCCATTCTTACGCCATGCCACTTTTGAAAATCATGTTTTGCGAAGCACTTTGTACGTTAGACATTGTGGTGGTTTATCCTAACCACATCAAATCCCAATTTTCGGGTTAGTGAAACAACCAGCACCAAGACTCATGACAAATACCTTTTGAGATCCTGATACACAGTCGGAGAAAAAAATTGGCTCCGGAAGCACTTTCATCTTGATTTCAAATCCGTTGAACTCCGGCTCTTGATATCAAAAGCCTAAACAGCCAGATCAGGGGAAATCTTGGCGCAATGCCCATCACTTGTCTGGTAGCGTTCTAAATATACCGCAAAACCATTAAATAAATTATATCCTAAAACTTAATTCAAGCATTTCACCATAACATAGTTGAACTGGATGCATGTTCACACGAATAAAAAAACGGGAATCAATTAGAATTTTTCTCGGATCAGCTGCGTGAAAAAACAAGGTCCACCTGCTCTTCCTTAAGGATGAAAGACTTGGACATGCAGTAGATACTAAGGTCTAAGCGATTTGTTGCGACTTGTTCAGGATAACTCCCTCATACTTAACCTGAAACCACTTCATAGCATCTTCCTTAGTCACTCGGTGTTGAATACCAACTCGGGACTTGGCCCTCCTCCTCCTTCCAACCCTGTAGCCTGGCCGTTCAAGAACGACATAGAAGTCCATACCGTAGATACCTGTTGAAGGATCATACCTGCGAGCGGAATTGGCAGCGACTAAGGAGTGGCAATAGAACAAAACATACAACCTCAAGTAACACCATGGACACCAAGTATTCATGTCTCATCATCTAAATTTATCCACAAAAATTAATTGAGTAAAGCCCTATGCCAAAGACTTCTACGATTCGACTTAGAATGAATCAAAACCTACTTGATACCAAGATCGATGTGCTCCTGGATACCGAACCCAAAGCATCCAGATTCGCTGAAGTTGCGGCGCAGCAGTTCGTATTCCTTCACTTTCAAGCCACTCTCAAGAAGCTGCATCGCTTTCTCACCACGAACAGTAACGTAGCATGCAATTTTCTCATTACGCCTGATACCGAAGGAACGAACGGTGTACCTAGCTGCATATTGAACAAAGAAGCACCACTCAAGTCAGGCGAATCATTCCACACAAAACCCTCGACATTAATTGCAATAATAACTTCTCCAGAATCGCTGCAAGTTACACAGCACTTAAATAATTTCAACCACGTACCCTTGGAGAAGACAGGACTCTGCCCACTCAGCTGCTCCAGCACCTGTGGAAGAAGGAAATCGTGGTAAGGACCAGTCGTGACTCACCATGCTACAATTTACAAAAAACATTAAACGAAGGTTTCAAGTGGTATATGCGCTCTCCAAATTTAGAGCATACGAGCAACCCCACGGACCAAAATGCCCAACATACCTTGGACGCACGAGTCAATCTGTCACCACTTTCTCCCACTGAGATGTTGAGGACAAGCTTCTGCACTTTAATCTCCCGCATGGAGTTCTGCATCTTCTTTTCCGAAGCCTGGACAACACAATCACCACATCGCCCATACTATCCATTTAGTAATCTGATCTGTAAGATTATCAGAATCACAGCACACAACAATTCCCTCGCAACGCTCTACAAGCACCACTCTAATGTGTCATACTGCATAAGAACAAAAAAATGATATAAAAGAACAAAAAAAATAAAAATAAAAATAAAAATAACTTCTTCCGCCAAGTGTATCTTCGAACGTGTCCTGGCCAGCTCCTTGAGCATGGTCAGCACTTTCAAACTTTAACTCTAACTAATGCATTCCCATGCAGAGACAAACTGAAGAAGAAAAATGGCAGTTATGATGAACCCACACGAAAAAAAAAAAAAAAAAAAAAAAAAGGGGGGGGGGGGGTACGCAGGTGATATGAACACTCTCTGTGATACAACCTCCTACAAAAGAATTGCCACAAACCCTAAATTTCAAAACTTAAGCTAGAGCTTAATTCTCGAGGAAAAAAGTAAAATGTAAAACAACTGAGGCGAAAAGAGAACATCGAAACAATGATCAGCAAAAAATACAAGAAGAAGAAGGACAAACCATCGCGGCCGAAATTTGCACGACGCTGGCGATGGGGACCGAGCTCAGGGGAGAGCAAAGGGTAAGCTACTGGAGCAAGTCTTCGTCTTCTTCACTAGCAGAGGGTTTGTCATGGATGAATGCGATTCGTGACTGATGGATGCACTCAAATGGGATGGCTAGTCGCGTGGATATGGTTCCGTATAATTCTAAGATACGGTTTCTGGTTCGGACCCCTGTGCCTGATGAACAAGGTTAAAGATATATATTACGATCGAACGCTGAGGTTTGTGTAAGCCCAATTTGCAATTGACAGTCAGAAATCTTTAGTTTAGTGTTGCTAGCAACATAATGTGAGTCCCATGTGGATGTTTTCTTTACATGCTGGTTTCAATTAGGATCTTTATTAACTCAAATAAGATAATGTGTGTTCATTTTGTTCACATGATATGTGCTTTTGTATATATTGTCCTTGAGGTTGCACAGCAATACTGTATTACAGCTATTTTATAGTAGTGTTACAAGTGTATGAGTAAATTTTATGAAAGAGATTTATAATATTTAATCTATAAAATTATATATGTATATGTTTAATTATATTACTATCATTGTTTTTTATTTTTAAGTAAAATAAAATAAAATAAATGGCCTTTTTATAAATAGAACAGTAATGTTTTACTATGAAATTTCTAATGGCACCTTCTTATTTATTTAAGGCCCAAGCAACATTATGTATATATATATATATATAGATATAGATACACACACCAATATACAAACATTTATAATCAACTATTCAATTGTTTTATTTTGAATATTGTGAGGAACGATACACTCTTCTAAACAATCAACATTTTCAATGAAAAGATTATGCCATCTTGAAGTTTTTAGTCACCACCCACTTTGATAACACAAAGTTTTTTTGTTCATACGTTTAAATAAGGTATTATTTTATATCTCAGATTTGAGATGACACTAACTTATTTTCTATAGATAAAGAAAGTACACAAAAATGTCCTTTTATTGATTCTATATATATATATATATATATATATGAGTAAAAAAATTTTGGAAAAAGAATTAGAAATATAATTCATATGAAGTTCACACAAAAGAAGAAGTTTAAAAATTTTGATATCATTATTTTCAAACACAAAAAATTAAATTCGTAAGGATTACTTTCATACCCAACAATGCAAGCTTTTGGTAATTTCATAACTTAAATTATTAAAAAGGAAAAGGAAACTAATAGATGACTTTTTGCATGAAAAGGTAGACATAAAGATAATACTTCGAGAACACATGAAGAGAGGACACTGCTGCTGTGGTCATGCAACCAAGTAGCATGTGGATGAAAGGGATGAAATTCGCCCAAAGTGGATGAATGTGTGAACTGGGTTGTACCGGTGATAGGACACAGTGCGTGGTCATAGGTGAAGTTCTGGTCATGGGTGCTCGGAATTCTTGTCGCTGCTGTTTGTTTCTGACGCTTCCACTGTGGAGACCTATTTGTCGTCGTTCCGCGCACATTTTCGGTTTCTGCTTTGATGTTTTTTTTGGTTGACATTCTGGCGGTGAGCTTCGGATTTGAGGACTACTTGCTGCTTTTTACAAGGCCGATGCATTTAGGCAGTGAAGTTGAATCATTCTATCATTCTTAAGGCGTTGTTCGCACGATTTCTAGTCGCAGCTGGCACCGTCGTTACGTGTTGCTTCTGATTTGTAGGATTTGATCAACCTGAAGCACGAATTGTTAGTTTAACGTCAATCAGATGGACGTGTAGAGCGAGAGAATTTTATTTCAGTAGTTTTCACGATTGGAGATTGGTCGTAAGATTGTCTTTAGAAGCTTCTTTCAGTTCCTCTGTTCAGATCTTGCTTTCAAGGATTGCTATCCTTGAATACGTCACGGATGGGGCATGAAATGTAGTTTTTTTCTACGACTGCTCAGCTATGTCCAATGTGTAGTATGTGCTAGAGGAATTTAGACGTTAGCCACAATCGTTGCAGGGTTTAAGAGAGTAGCAGTTAGTGACAATTTCGAGTGGTCGTCTCGGCTGAAACGTGATCTGCTGACATGGGAGCCTCTACGGGACAGAGGTTGGAAGATGTCTGGGTATCTGCAGCAGGGTTTAGATTTTCAGCGAGATTTTAAAGCCAAGCTTCTACTGAATCTCATGGTCGTGACATTGATAAGTTGACAGATGATGAGTTCTCACCACGGTTGTAGCAGTGAGTACTAGTAGAATTTAAAAACTGTGCAGCATATTGTTCTGTGTTTACTTAGAAATTTCGGGGAGCTATGGATGGGGTGGTCGGAGCGCAGCATACGTTTTCAGAAGCGTTGGAGGCTTTGGGCAATGTGGATGTTGAAGAGAACGTGGCGGAGGGGTTGGTGCACGATGCTCGTGCGGCTGTTGATGTGTTATCAGATGCACTGAAGGGCCTGGAAAAATCTGTCGCGAACTTGGGCGATTCTTCCAATGAACAGGGCGTGGAGAAAATGCTCATATGGGTTGACGCAGTGAATTGCTCATGGAGGAATGTTGTAACAAACCACAATGGCGTGAGTGTTGCGGAGCGTTTGGGTGACGTTGCTCCCAACTTGTGCGCGAGTTGGCTGGATGCTCTCAAGGTCCTCGGGTCATGTGCTGTTGTTGCGAAGGGGTGGATTTCGAGGCCATTAGAAGGGGAATTCGTCGAGGGAGAATCTAATGGTGAATTATCGAAGCGTATACCTTTGGTGGATTGGACGAGTAGCCCATTTTTGATTGCTGCATGGCCAGAGCTCAAGGGCCGGGGAGGGCTGGGTTCATCCCGTTGGCGTGCTCGCGTTTCGGCGGTGGAGTTTTTATCGTCTCTCGCAGAATACGACTTAATTGGAGAAAAAGTGAATGATCATCGGCTGTCATTGTTGGAAGAGTTACTTCGGACCCTAATTTTTAGGATGGGTCTTGTCGATTCGCACTGGCAGGTTCTTTGGCATACTTTTAAATCTTATCATCTAAACCATGTTCAAGGTTTCGCTTGAAGAATCTGGGCTGTATCTTCACTTTGTTGTTTAGGGACGGTGATAGGTTCCTTTAATCATGCTGTTTTACGAGTTACTTTGGTGTGATATTTTAAGGTTGGGAGGGTTTAGGATTTGTTGTTTAGCAAGATAAGGGTAGAATAGTCGCTGGAGGATGGTTTTAAGTGGTACAATTGTGTTTGGTTACTGCATCTCTCACAACTTCATGTTAAAAGTATTTTTGAAGGTTCCGACGAAGCTTGGGGTGAGATGTACTTTGAGGGCCTGCAGTATAATTATGGAGTCTCATGGAGTCTGATGAACCGCAAGCAAATTCTTTGCATGCAGGTCCGACGATCTGTTCTTCTTGCCGTGACGCGACTTTTGATGGCTTCTCTAGAAATCCTTGCGAAGCAATTGTGAGTGCTTCAAGATTTCCAAGAGTTTCTCTTTTATTGTGCTGTTCTTGTGTGTAACCTCCTTTACTGAATGAGCGTTTTGATACCTCTGTCTTATATATATATATATATATATATATATATATATATATAGATGTGTGTGTGTGTGTGTGTAATTTTCGTCTGTGTTCAACAGCTGTGGATAGTAGAGATTGGTATGTAGCTGTGTTAATGTGCACAACCGGATTGGGTTTATCAGATGGGCAAGTCTGGCTTGGGGAGTGCTGGCATTCTGCACGGATCCCCACACCGAGGTGCAATTAGCTGCAAAAGATATAATCCTTCATCAACTTCTTCCTTCTTCGGAATTGCATTCGCAAGTACGTTATTGATCGGTTACCTGATGTTTTTTATGAACTTAAATCATTACACTTCATGACAGTAGTTTCTGGAGAAGTTTTCAGTTAACTGACCATGTAGCTTTCTAATGTTTACACAGGTGGTAGTACAAAGTCTGCTTGACAGGTTCATATCCGCAGTACTGGGAGCAGCAGAAGATCCTGATCATGCTTCGGATAGCTCTCAAGGGAACGTTACTTTGGTGGCTGCTATTGTCGCTGCGGTTCAGCTTGAATTGGTACCTCATAAAACGGCATTTGAAGTCCAAGAGCATGGCAGCATTAGCGTAGACAGAATCCCTATTTTATTAGTGGCAACTTCTGTAGCTCTCTCAGTTTCTGAAAAAGAAGGCAACAAAGATTATTCTGCAAGCCTCTTGCAGCTTATCAGGTCTCCTTTTTCCTCCCTTTTTTGTGCTCTTCTGATTCAAAGTGAAAAGTCCCTCTTCGTATTAGCTTTAAGTGTGCTCATGTCTGAGTTGCTCTCATGCAGATGTTTTAGGTTTTATCCTGTATCTCTTTTGAGTATGTTGAATCCAAAAATGGCCCTTTACGAATGCGAGAAGTTAGCTAAATATTGCAAGCGGCGAGGTGTGTTGGATGAAGTCACGGCTATGAAATTGGAGAAAGTGCCTACTGCAGTACCCTTGAAGGCACTTGCAGCTGCATTAGAGGCATCAGAAAGCACCATGAGGAAATTTTCTGTTGATGATGGATTTCTGGGTAGTAAACAGTTGGATGCGCTGCAACATATATCTGAGGTTTGTGCTAACTAAATGCGTTAACCTGTGAAGTTATAGATTCTATTATCCTCTTAAGCTCTTGATTCTATGCATTCACCTAAAGAAACAAGCAAAAAAGGTGCAAATTATTGTCACCGTTCATTTACATTAGATTATAACGTCAGCAGCTGACGACAATGGGTTTATCTTCCGGTGCTCAAGGCATACAAAACGGTATTCATTCCTTGTGTGTTATCCGAGTCTCTTATCCTATTATGATCTATAAATTTTGCAGATGTTGCATATCCCTCACCAACTTACAAGATCCTACAAGGACAAAGCTACTGAGGGAGAGGTTGAGTCTTATCTGGAATGTGGAATGCTACACTTAAAGATGGCGCTTATGCTTGTCAAGAACCCAGTTTGGACAGCCCAGCAAGCATGGCAGAAGACAGACGTCATACTCGATATCTTTTTAAGTTTTTCTGCGTTGGCTTCAGGTATTATTGAATCCGAGGGAGTCTGGGTCGACAAAACAGACATTTGCATGCTTTGTAACGAAGTCCTCGCGTGCTTCTCGCATGCTTTGCAAATAGAGAGTTCTGTTCGTCAAGATGAAGCTGTAAACCTATCAAGTGGATATAGCAATAAGGTGCCAAGTTTAGAAACTCTTGTTCTACGTTTACTACCTGGAGTATTATTGAAACTCAAGGATGTTTTGAAGGCTAGCACCAGATCCGTTGCTTTGGAGAAGGAAGTAACGGTTCCTAAAATGGATGACCTTCCTACTTCTATAATTTCTGCTCACCAGTTGAGATGGTGTCTGGTTCAGGTAAGATGCTAAGGATATGCTTTTTATTATTCCTTATTGTATCGTTTGCTGTTGGCCTGATCCTTAGAGCCAAGTTTTGAAATGGGAGGATTCCTGCAGATTCACTATCCGAATTTCAAACCTCAATCTGAGATAGTTATACGCACTGCTCTGACTGCACTGGACCATTACTCACCCCCGATCAAGGTACAGATGCTTCTTGCCTTATTCTATCTGCTGCCAGTTGATTCGTTTATGTTATCACTTCTCCTCACTTATAGATTAGGAGGCCAATTGGGATTAAAGAGGGGAAGTCTGTGCCCGTGATTCTTTTAGGCATTTGTACCGTTTGAGACAAGTAATGACACGTGATTAGTGCTTTCCTTTGAACAGAAACAAGGGATGAAGTCTTTTATTCACTTAGCCACAAACATAGACGCTACAGAGTTGTGCTGGTTCAAGGATGCAATTTTAGATGCAGTGACCCGAAGTTTGATAGGTTGTGAGGAATTATGGCCTGTTGCTGTGGAGATGACGGTCGCTCTGGTAACACGAATAGAAGGTGGAAACCCTCGAGGGCAATGGTGAGTCATATTTAAATAAGTAGCTCGAGTGTCGTGGTTGAATGATGAATTTTCGTAGTTAGTTTTGGAATGTATGTATATGATTTAAATTTAGCCAAACGTTTGTTTAAGGGGCTGAAAATAACCAGTTTTGATGGAGGTAGCTTGTCCGTGGAGTTTGGAACACGAAGAACTTATGTCCACGAAGTTGTGACGTTTCCCTTAGGTTATTCAGTAACAACACTGTGTTTGATGTGGCAGGTATCAAGCAACTATGAAAGAGATGTTGGAGGATCTAGAAAGGCATAGAAGAGATCAAAAACGGAGAGTTGTGTGGCTGCAACTTGTCACACCACAGTTTGAATCCATGGGAATCATGTTGGTGGCTCACTTCAAACGCCTCCTTCCCCTACTCTATTACTGGCTTCATGCTCAGGATGAAGAAACGCAACTTCTGGTAATTATTAGTTTCTCGTCCTGGGTTCACAGATCTATGAACATGTGACAGTGAAAATAGTGGGACACTTTAACTTAAGGTGTTACAGAGAGGCTACTCCAGATCTTAGTAATTTTGAATAGTGAAGCTAATCAGTTTAGTTCGTATGGATGACAGTACAGCACATGCTGTCCTTATCTATTCAACTGTGATCATTTAGTGAGTAATTTTTGTTTGTTGGAAACTGCAGGTTTTGACGAACCTTCGCACTATTATCAGATCTACGTGGCCGCGAATTCCTTTCCATGTGTTACGGTGCTCTATTCATTTCCGCTACTTCTTTTTCTTCTTCTCTTTTGGTTTTTTTAGGTCAGTTTATGTGCATCATTCCGTTCAACCGGATGTCAGCAGAATTGTGGTTGGTTGGGTTAACTTTTCATATTATAACAGATTGTGAACATTAAAACTCGTGATTTACTCATACATGAGGTCATTTATCCTATCGAAATATTGTACTGATTTTATATTAATGGCTCAGGATGCAGGAAGAGCTAATGCGGGTAGAAAAGGAGGGTCGAGATCGGAAATCTAGTCCCAAACTGTTTGCTGCAATTGGTGATTTGGAAAGGTTACTTCAATTGTATGTATCCCATGAGCTGAAACTTTGCTTGCGTTGCCAGTTCAAACATCCTTCTTTTTGTCTACTCGACCTTAATGATAAAAACTTGAGTGTTGTACTTATTGTCTGTGCCTGTTACGTAGTATAATATGGAACTAATTTCGGATCCTGCTCCAGGTTCACTTTACCTGCCAAGGCCGGCTTCTCCTAATTGTCGAATCATTCGACTTGGCTTCGCACAATTGATTTTCCTGTAATCGATGTGGAGCATATCTTGAGCAGGTCAGGCCTCTGTAAGAGCTCACACAAAAATCTTTTGCAGTGTTAGACGAAATTTTGACAAATTTTACTTCTACTTTTATTAAAGTATGTCAGAGAAGTGGTCTCAGTGAACCTAAAATTGAAACGTAAATGCCATGTACTTGCATTAGATCTGAATATAATTGGCGTTGAATCATGATTTTTGAAGCTAAGTCTAATGAGTTATAGATTTTCGAAGTTTGGGGTAAGCGCCTAAATGTCAGTCATCGAAAGAGCTATTTTCAATTGCAGACTGCCGACAGTGGCTGCATACACAGCCACCAGAAAGAAGATGGGGACTGGAAGGATTGCCACTTCAAGGATGCGTAACCTCCTGCTGCAATTTTATGCTGCCAAGACTTAGCATCATGAGCCATTGAAGAAAGTACTAGGTGTATTCTTGCAATTACGACATCAATCTTTTAACTTAAATGTGAAAATCCGGAACATTTTATGTAACTGAGTAATGTACAGAAAAATGGCTCAGTCTGTTGCATTCCAAAGGTTTTAAGATAGAAAATTCTGACCTGACAAGAAAAAGGACCCTTGAATGTTAACAATTACGGAGACGTGCTTTGCCTTTTTCACAGCCTCCCACGGATTCTAGAAATTCTACAGGTAGAAACATTGGTTCATCAACAAAGTGCACTATCTATGTTATGTAAGCGATTCTTCATCAACCGATTCGTGGGACACAGTCTATTTGTAGGCGTAGAGATTCTGCTATTCCTTCCCCTACCGTTACGTCCGGAGGCTATGCTCCATCTTCAGATTTGGGTGATTTAAATTCGGGCCGAGCAGAGATTGACCAGCACGATTGCGTACGTCTCAAATATTGCGAAGCTCATTCACAGTACATTCTCTTGTCAAAGACGCTCAACCTGTCCATGTTCGATTGGTGCAATAAATTTTCTCCGCTGTCGGACTAAGAATAGTATTCCGTTACTCGTCGTCAGTTTCGATCAAGGACAAAGTGAAGGCCCTCAGCGGAAAATCCTCGCCGGAGCGTGTGGAAGTTTGTGCAAGGATTTTCCGGAGGTCTCAGAACTTGCGACCGAAATGCCCAAACTTTGAAATCGAGGTCTCACTTCATTGACAGATGACGTCGATCAATAAATTTTTACAAAAAAGAGTAATGATGCTACACTGACATGGTCTAGATTGCATATGAGGGGAACCAGTTTGTCGACGGTCATTTTTTTTCACAACGCGTTAGTAAAATATGCAAGCATGAACTATGCTTGTTGGTTTGTTTTTTTGTACTTTTTATTTATTTGTTTGTTTTTGGAACACAAGGGGGTTAAACTCCTTGCTGTTAATTACAGATAGTGAATAACAGTGTACACACTCCTTGAGTCTACATCAAGACTCTGGAGAGGGGGTAAGTAATGCGGACCTGGCGGGTTGGGGACGAATGCCTGAAACTTTGAAGTGCTAAGCTTGTGCTAGTTGTCTTCTAACGCTACCACATTATACCCACCTCATACCTTTTACTCCGATAGTTACAAGTTAAATTTAGTTTCTGATGTTCGTATTGACTCATGATAGCAGTCTCGAGACATGATTGGAACGCTGACACCATTGCCATTTCGAATACTCAATTTTTTTTTAATATTACAAGAAAAAAGCAGTACAGGATGACATCATGATGTTTTCTTTCGTGCAGTTTAACCTGCAGCGAGTCAGGAGGATTGGGTCAAGCGGCAGATATGAAATGGTAGGTCTGAAAAAGCACGACCCAGGCGCGAACGGAAGAATGAGAAGGAGAGTCGACTACTTTCCAGGAGCTGAGCACATGGTCAGGGACGGGCCTGGATTCCAGATAGCATCTTTCTTTTTCTTTGGCAACCTCCCATGCACCACAGCGGCATCAACCTGCCCATGCAGCCACCCAGCTCCCTCCCTCGATCTCTCCGCCAACGGTAGACTCTGCAACTGACGATTCGAACCTCCCCACTTCCCCATCCCGACTGCACGTGTGTGTGTGTGTGTGTGTGTGAGGTTTCAAATCCCCTCACCAGAGCAAGTGAGTCCTGCCACATCCAATTCTCATTGTGCGGATTCTGCCATAGTGGTCTATTCTCTCTCTTACAACTTCTGGCACCGATCTGGCCTAGCTGGATCACTTCCGGCGCGTCATTCCCACTGACACGCTTCATCTTCGACTCGTGACGCGGAACGAGAACCAGAACCGGAACCTGCAGGTTCGAATCGGTCTCCTTGCACTTGCCGTGACCTCGCTTCTCATCGCTTCAAGACCCGTGTAGAATGTCTAGATTTCTTGACGTTGAATGGTCCTGTGGTCGGAGGGATCTCCCTTTTGCAACGTTATGTGAGATCATTGCAAATCCGATGTGAGGGGTTCTGTTTCTGTGTCGGTTTAACGTGATCCTGGATCACCGAATCTGTTCCTACCCAATCTGTTTCAGTGCCGCTACAGGCTTCGCAACGACCAGCGCAGTCTTCTTCTGTTGTTCGAGCTTCTACCTTATCATCCAAGCTATCCTTGAAATCTGAGATCATGTTTTCAAATCAGCGAATCAAAACATTGCTTTAATCCTGGATTTTAGCAGTTCATGAAGGGGGAGATCCGGTAACACGTGTTAACTAGTATATGTGTGTATATATATATTTGTACAGTGGATTGCATATGGAATTAACTTGAATAGTTTTAAGGCTATCATTTCAGCTCATTGCAGGGTTACATCTGGAATGTAATAGACGTGATATCAGTTAGTGAAAACAACACATGTATGTATGTGTGTGAATATTTATTTATTTATTTATTTATTTATTTATTTAAATTTAACAGTTATTTTTTACTTTACTGATTTACAGATTTGATTTGGGTTTGAAAATTTGATTTAGCTTCATGGGGTTTTGAAAACCATGACCCTTAGTGTGATGGAGGACTCAAATGTCACTAGCAGCCTGCCAAATCACCACTTTAAATGATTAGGGTAGCCATTTTATTACTGTGTTACTATCTTCAAATGTTCATCTTTTTAACATTGTTTAGTAAAAATTACAACCTATATGTTTTAGCATAAATTTCCTTTGTCAGTATATAATTGTGAAAGTAGAAAACCTATCATGTTTGATACTATACAAAATATTCAATAATACATATTGCATTTTAAATATAATTTTCTTGCACATTAGCTCAAATCATAATTCTTCCTTCGTGCATTCTGCATGAGCTTGATGTGCCTTCATTGAAAACTTCTTTACATACTAGTATCATGTCATCATTTTATTTTGGTGTAGAACTCTCGTTTATGTCTAAGAACTCAATGATAACATGTATTGATTATATGTTATAACAACTCAATTAAACAGCTATACAAATATGTGAGATGAACAGACTAGAACAAACTTAATTATTCTATATACACACCAACAAGTGTAAAAAAGAAGAAAATAAATGCTAATGTAAGGATATATATATCTACATATAGACATATATACACACATATACACACATATGGAAAGGCTTTTGAATATTTTACATTATTTTTTGAATATTATACAATTTCAAAATGAAATATGTAGGAAAACCAAAAAGGTCTTGATGGTTTTTAATACTGAGAGAAAATGCTAACAAATTTCTTTACACTTTTGCCTCTCTACTCTCGTTATTCATACAAAACTAATTTGAATGAAGCTTGTGATCTACACAACTTGTTATTACACTTATTATTATTATTATTATTATTGTTGTTTAACACACACTTGAAATAAATAGATATAAAAGTATTTTTTTAAATATAGAAATGAAAATTTTCTGAAGTACGTAGGAAGAGTTTTACCATGCTGAAGTGGGTGTACTACTCTGAAGTCACAGTTACTATTCTATTGAGCTCTATGTAAGAATTGACCACTGTTGTTGGATGTATAAAATGTACTATTTAATGACATCCCAGCTCATTCTTAAATGGTGTACCTGCACCTGCCCTGCTCAATGAATGTTTGTATGAATAAATGAATGAAATCATTCAGATTGTCGAAATTTGAATTTGGTTCAGCTGGTGCGTTGTCTTTTTCCCAGCAAGCCCTACTTTTGGGAATTGGGTATCCTTCCTTTTGATATTGTACTCTAATGTAGGATGGGACAGTTTCAATTTTGGATATTTTTATTACATTTTACTAGCCATGTAAACCGTTGTTATCCTTGAATCTCAAGGAAGTTCTAGTAATTGTTCAGATGGGCAACTTGAATGAATGACTTTGGTGATGGACCTTTTTGATGCATTCTTGATCCCTTTGATGACTGAAACCTGGCCTGGATATTTTCACTTACTTTTTTCACTTATACTATAGTTTGAAATAATTTTTTTGGGAGCCACTGGATTACATGGAAATTCCGCACAATTCTACAAGTTTTTCACAAAGATAACATCAAATGACTCTTTAGATTCCACAATTGGGGAAAACATGAGAAGGAAATCTATGCTTGTTATTTCAGTGAATATGGAATGTGATGGCCACGTCTAATTATCACATTCCATTTTCATGGACACGATATCATTACCAATTTGATGTTAAGAATGTAGCGTTTCCTCCATAGATATTGCTTTTAGGTATAATTGGAGGTTCTTAAAAAGCTTGTACTACATCTGAGCTTTACAAGCTTTGCAATGTTTTCTGTTCTCTAGAAAAATTCCATTTCATACATACATAAAAATGAAAAGTGGAAAATGTTCAGTCTAATTATTTTGTAAGAGGTGTCCACATATATAGAGACATATTCAAGAGCATTAGTTGTGATCGTGCACGATAGTCATTTAGATAAGCCTTTGATTTGCCGACCCAAGTCAACTAACATCTCATTAGTTTAACAGGATCACTTAATCACAAGCACAGTACTTGAAGCCCATGATCGATATAAGCATTATTCCTTGCATCACTCTGCAGGGTCAACATTAACAATACTTTACAGCCTCGCCTTCCACATCACGAAGTAGTCATACTCTCGAACAGTTTAAAACAGACCCTATCCAACAATGCCTGTTAAAATGATTAAACTTAACCTATAAAGAGACAAGCACCCAGTACTCCATTCTGAAGCAGCAACAAAACTCTCAATCACAAGCTCAAGCAAGAAGAAGTACTTCAAGCTTCGAAACAGGATCAGTAACATGTCGATAACGTGAACAACTGAGTGAGCAATGGACACATCATCCTGTTTTCATCGCAGGAAATCAAAGCTAATCGACGTCGATAAGCTCACAGACGAAGATTACTGAGTTGGGGTTGGAAGCAAATGACCTCAATGACCCAGTGGAATCTAAATTAATGAAGGGGGAGAAAACCCCAGAATAGTGATAAAATGAGCATCGATTAACAGGTGGCTTGGCTTGGAAACTGTGTGAAGTGGGCTAGCACGATGCTCATCAGCAGCTACTAGTGGCACTACAAACGAAGATAATGCTCACATCGTACAAAAACATGGGGCTGACTTCAGGAATCGACGCTTGCCAGGAGCATGGCAGCAGCGGAAACAGCTGCGCAGGGCTCACGGCACTTGGGCGACTTATCCGTTACGGTACATTTCCTCAACGGTAGACTGTTGTCTGATCAGTCTCTTCGCTTCCGACTGATCAGCTGCTTTCAAAGCATCCCTGTCCCCCCCACCCCCCCCCTCCTGCCCAGGTGGTGCATGGATGTTGCGTGCCTGCACTATCACCACTATTAGCCCCGCCTACAGAATCTTTTTTCTCGAGGAACCCACATGTTTATTTCGTCCCAGTGTGGGTGTTGGTTTCAGAGTGGAGCTCAGCTGTTGTCGCCCTCTGCGCCGTTGTGGTTTGGCGATCCACGTGCGGACTTCTTGCTCGATCGCAACGGTGAGAGGCCTTTGCTGGATTGCTCTGTCGTCCTACAACTACAATTCGTGAAAGGAGGTTCCTTATTTTGGTTGATCGGGGCTCATGCCAATCTAAGTTGAGGTAGAAACTGTGGAGTGTGGAATGGCTGAGCGTGAGATGCGTGACGTTGTCGCATATTGGACCTTCTTCACAGCGTCTGCGTTGCTATTTCTAAGGGTTAACTTGAAAATAAATCGTGGATTGTGATTCAAGTTCTAGAGCGTCAACTCTATTCCGAAGTCCTAAGTCTGATGTGCAGAATTCAAAATCCATCACAAGCACTGCAATTTTGATCAGATTAACTTGTCTGGGATGGGAGGATTGAGTTTCGATTCCGGGAGTTTGCTTACATGTCCTCTTCATTAATGCGAAAGCTTAGCAGAATGAACTATATTGAAGAAGCACTCGTAAGAACTGAGCGTTCGATGTTCGCTACTGTCCTAGAGTGTGCCTTTGATAACGTTCCAATATATCTCGGAGGTCTCTCACCTTCGCTTCCTCGAACACAGACTAAATCCACTGCAGTATTTGTTTATATTCACTTTATTAAATCTCGCACAATTGCTACTTCGCATTCTCTCAGTTTTTAGTGAGCACTACGAAGCGCGTTAACACTGGCCAGGATTAGATAGAAGGTCTGAATGCATCTTGAAATTTTACTGTAGTTGGACTCTGCTTCGATACCCACGAGCTGATTCTGTGGTGCGCCATTTGCAGATAACACCATGCGGAAGGATTGTGAGGAATGTGAGTATTACATCGTATGCAAGAACTGCAGCCACTTGAAGTTGCAGAGCGAAGAGATGATTCCTTGCAAGCGCTACAATGGGGTCTACATCTTGTAAATGTCGACTAGTTTTCTCAACAGTGAAAGAATCGGTTAAGATAGTGGTGTCATGAGTGCAACTAAAGCAGGAGAACTTGAGGAGCTGGGAAGCCAATATGGTGAAGGGTACACCAAACATTCGCTCCTTCTTTCAATCGAAGAAGGAGTCTCCGTCCAAAGCCAGTGAGAGTGCGAACAATGTCGTCACCTCGCCAGGACGCCCCCCTCTCTCCTCCTCAACCTCGGCACGAAGCAATGTGAGCAATTTCCAGTCGAGGCTCGATGGACGTTACTCACAATTGAAGAGGAAAGGACGATTTGCAGAAAATGACCTATTCGAGCACTTGAACAGTGCTGATGAATCCCATGTCGGATGTTCATCGACCAACGCGAGCAGTCCTGAAAGGTTTAGCATCTCACACGATAATCCAGTGAGGAACAAGTCCAGGATTAGTCAATTTAGCCCTTGCACGCGCCTGCCCTTGAGCTCAACTACTAGCAAAAACGTGCAAGGACCGCACACAACAGGTACATCTTTACCCTTCCGATTACTCCAATACCAAAGACTGTTCCTTCATTCAAGAGATTGCTAATGCAATCTTTGGTCTACAGGTGTTTATGAGTATCTCTCGCGGACGCCGTCAATTCAAAGCTCACTGGCATCAAGCAGTGATGAAGAAGGCACCACTACCGAAGACTCTGCTCCCTCCTCCAGATACGCTAGCGATGCTGAAAATGTTTGCCCATCAAGGCAACTGTCTGCTAGACAGCAAGAAGGGCTTAGAAGAATGTCTCTTGGGCCGAAGATTGAATCTGCAGCTAGTACTCCAAAGAAAACTCCCACAAAGCCTTCTAGGTCTGGTCGCAATGGTGCTCCTTGTGCCAGTCCCAGCAGTGTACGAGCCGGTGGTCAAAGATCACTTGTACCTTTACCGCCTAGCTTGAAGGAATGTGCTAGCCAAGCACAAGCCTACTTTGACCTCGAAGAGAAAGTGTCCTTTTGGGATGACCACAATGTGCAGGTGGGGAATCACACATCTTAGTTGAATGCTGCTCTCAAAAGTAACTCGAAAACTTCTGGCATCCTCAGGTTAATCTAGACTGGTTGTTTGCTTGAAATTTGAATTGCATCAGGTTGTCGTCAGAACTCGACCGATTAGTACCAAGGAGGCCACTAAGCAAGACGTCGCCAGATGTTTGAGGCAAGAGAGTGCTCACGCTATCACATGGTTGGGCCAGCCCGAGACACGCTTCACCTTCGATCATGTTGCCGGTGAAAATATTTCCCAGGTCAGATTATCCATCACTGGGCTCAACGTTCTCTCATGGCATTTGCCGGAATGCTGAATGCACGTTTTAGAGCTGATGGGAGGTGTTTTCAAAATTGTGCAGGAGAAGCTGTTTGAGGTGGTTGGATTGCCGATAGTGGAAAATTGTATGGCTGGCTACAACAGCTGCATGTTTGCCTATGGCCAGGTAGGTTTCTTCACAAAACAACTGTCGCAGATCTTTAGTTCGCCAATACAGGACTGTGGACTTAGTCTGCGTGTGGTCATCACTTACAGACCGGGAGCGGGAAGACTCACACTATGCTTGGAGATGTTACAGATCTAGGGCATAAACCTAGTGACAATCGTGGCATGACACCTCGGATCTTTGAGTACTTGTTTTCGAAAATTCGAAAGGTACTGGAAACACACATTAATCCCCGAAAACCTCCAGGGGCATCAGATCTCAGTCTCGTAGATATACGTGCAAGAGTGTTTCACAAACTATTCATGTTATCTCTTAGTTGACAGTATATGTATGCATATCTAATATATTCTTGTAGCCTAATGACTGACATAATGGCCCTGCTAACGGTCGGAGACACCGCAGGAAGAACAACACAAGCAGCTCGAGCAGCTAGAATATGTTTGCAGGTGCTCCTTTTTAGAAATTTACAACGAACAGATTACAGATCTTTTGGAGCCTTCTTCTACGAATCTTCATGTATGTACAGTTCAATTCTTGAGTAGTATGCTATTGTCTTTTGTGTGATCATCTGTAGTAATTGTTTAATTTCTCCGGCGGCTTGTCTGCTACTTAATTCATATTGAAGCCTGTGGATTTTGACCTCTCCCTGAGTCGGTTGAGTCCGTGGGTTATGTCATTGAAACTCACACTTTCATTTCGTCACGTCTGGAAATTTGTGACATTTTTGGTTAACAGATGCGAGAGGACTCGAAAAAGGGAGTATACGTGGAGAATCTTACAGAGATAGTAGTCCGTAGTGTACAGGATGTGGTGGTGCTGCTTCTGAAGGGAGCTGCCAACAGAAAAGTTGCCTCAACGATCATGAACCGTGAGAGCAGCCGCTCGCATAGTGTGTTCACCTGCACCATAGAAAGCAAGGTATGTGAGACAAGATCTCGATGATGACTCGTTATATTCTTAATTAAGTAGAAATCAGATACAATCAGTCTGTTTCTTTAATTGAGGGAAGCATTCATTGGCTTCAGCATTTGTTGTGGGTTTTTGTGTTCGCAGTGGGTAACCAATTCTATGAGCAATATGCGGTTTGGGCGATTGAACCTGGTGGATCTAGCAGGATCGGAACGGTATTACCTTTACATATTTGATGCTGCCAATGTGCTCTTCTAAGATTTTGTCAACTAATTGACTGATTTGAGTAGAAATTCATGACGACATGTCGTTGGTTGCAATTGCAGGCAGAAATCCTCTGGGACAGAGAGGGATCGGCTCAAGGAGGCTGCCAGCATCAACAAGTCGCTCTCCACTCTTGGGTCAGAACTTATGGTCTTAAATAAGTTACTACGTTGTTACCAATCTCGACTTGATAATGAAAACTGATTTCCGACAGTAAAGAATAATAATCCGTTAAGTTGCCCGAAGCTTATTCACACAGCGTGACCTATCTCAGAAGCTCTGAAGCTCTTCCATTGATGGGATTGAACGATATGTACTCAACAGGTTGGTGATAATGATATTGGTGGACATTGCAAATGGAAAGCAGCGTCACGTTCCATACCGCGACTCGAAGCTTACTTTTCTTCTCCAGGTAAAATGTCCTTTCTGGGTCAGTAATCGTTCGCTCCTGCAGTCCCCCAAGCTGCAGTGTTGTTTTCACGACACTACCTATTCTAATAATCTCAATACTGCATTTATCCGACTGCAGGACTCTTTAGGAGGTAACTCAAAGACTGCTATTATAGCAACAATCAGTCCCTCCAGCTGGTATGTGCTGGTTTAGCCGCTCTATCATGCACTTGCTCAATGTTTTTTGACGCTATTGACACCTCAGGTTCAGAATCTCTGAGTACATGTGGGATGCATCAAATATTTTTCAGTGGCTTTCGTGCTTTTTTATGTGTGACAGTTGCACAATGGAGACTCTGAGCACGCTGAAGTTTGCCCAACGTGCAAAATTTATTCAGAACAATGTGAGATACCCCACTTGTCCCGTCCAACTAATTCACTCGACAGAAAGTCATGGAAGGAGCACTGACATGCCTTCAATCTGTGTGCAGGCTGTTGTCAATGAAGACGCATCCGGAGAACTCTTGGCTCTCAAACGTGAGATTCAGCAACTGAAGGCAAGTACGGATCATGTCTTGAATACTTCATCAAGTCCTGGATTTAAAATCATCTAACTAAAACCTCGACCTCAACACAGCATGATTATTGACTCGATGGGGTTAAACAGGAAGAAGTGAGCAGATTGCGGTGCCTGAGTATCACAAGCATGCGGCGGGAATGCGGACGGGAAAGCACTGAGTTCTTTCGGATGTCGATGAGAGGAAAAGATCTATTTGATGGCGCAGAGAAAGAGGTTGAGAATGAACGTGTGGACTTGAAGCCGTCTCAGTTACTTGAGGAGGTGCTTGAAATTAGTTTTGTGATTGTTTAATTTCTTATTGAAATTTCAACTCTTTGCACCAGCAGTCGTGTACTATTTGTATCCATCTGGGTATTTAATTTATTTTGATATGCTGGAAGTGCAGATAAAGGCGCTGAAAGCGGGTCTAATTGGAGCTTTGAGGCGAGGGCAGGCTGCTGAGATAGTCATTAAACAGCTCTCCACTAATATTGACAAAGCCCACATATCGGCAAGTTGATATCTGCCCCTCTTGATTTAATTAATGCCCTAAATGTCTTCATCACTAATTTATATGAAAAGGAGCCTTAATGGAAATGCTGCTGTTACTTAACTAAAAATGCGACATTTAACTGAAGAAGGCCAACCTTACGTGAAATGTTCTGACAGATTGAGGACTGTGAAACTGAATCAAGGGCATCCTCTAAATCAGGGCAACACACAACAATGGCTGATAAGCTTCAAACTGCTGAAGGGCTTGGTCACAAGGCTCAAGCTACAGAATTAGAGTCAGGGGACCCTCTCCAATTGCAAAGGTATCATTTTTCTGATGGACATTACTTCTTCCCGCTGGATGTATGCATGCAGCGTATTTTATACACCATAATTCGAACTGGAAGTGAAGTTTGCGTATGCTTACCTTAGTAGAATAATCTCCAACTTTTCAAACATCTTGCAGTTATCAAACTTTCTTTGATGTTGGGGAGGAAGAAATGACGGCCACAGAAATTCGATGCCTACGTGACCAGGTACAATGACTCACACATTTACATGCTTATGAAAGCTTTTCTCTAACTTCGATGTTAGTTCTAACCCAGCTCTATTAAGTGCGGTTTGGCTTTGAACCGATTTGGACCGAATTTTTTTAGTACTGAAATGATGGTTTATGAACAGGTCCTAAGTCTTCACGATGAGAAATTGGCTATGGAGCAAGACATGCTATCAACAGCGATCGCAAAGGTGATACCACTGTGGAAAAATTATTCTATCTCTTCACCTAATTGGCTTATCTTGATTGAATGTTCATTTACATCAATTTTATGACTAAAATGCAGGACAATGGAAACCGTAAGGAATTGGAAACGTGTCGCAACGACTTGACCAAATGCTTAGAGGCAAGTTCTCAGTTGCAAAAACAAGTGGATGAGCTACAGGGGCTAGTCAAGCAGCTGACGGAGCAATGTGCTGAGAAGGACGAAGAGTTAAACAAGGTGAAGGAATCAGCAGAGAAGCATTTGCGCCTGATGAAATCGAAGGAAGAGGAGATCAAAGATTTGCAGTCAGCATGGGATGCTGCCACTGCGAAATTGTATCAGAATCTTTTGGAAGGAGAACAAGCCCTCGTTGAAGCTGGGCAAGAGCTTAGCGAGATTATGAAAGAAGAATCTCCGCGCTGGTCACTTGAGCCTGACAAATCAGTGAAGGTAGTGGATACAGAACACGATTACTTCAGGGGCCGGGGTTCATGTAACATGGATGAGATATTCGAAGAGAAGCGACACCCTAGGATGACTAGGAGTTTCGGTCTTTCTCCACGAGTGTCGTTAATCAGCACTGAGGAGAAGCTGAAACTGGAGGCAACTGTTGCTCGTCTTAAACATGAGCTCGAAGAGCACAAACAACAGGTTACGGAAGAGAAGGGTATCCACGAAGAGTTTCAGAGAGTAACGAAGGAAAATCTTGGCTTAAAGGAGGAGATAGAAGCTATGGCTTTGGTGCAGGAGGAGCTCCGCATGAATCTGAGCACTATTCACGTGAAATTTGACACAATTAGCCAGAAGGTCGAGGAGTCGAACTTGCGAGCCAAGGAGGTTGAAAATGCTTATGTTGAAGAGCTCAAGCTTAAAGCTGGTGAGATAAAGTCTGGAGAATTACGGATATATGAGCTTGAGGGGTCTCTGGCTGAGAAATGCAAAGCTCTGGCAACATTGGATTCGGCTTTTAATAGCATTTCAGCGACCTGTGATACCTTGAAAAAGGAGAGTGATGAAGCTCGAGGGTACATCGCACATTTGCAAGATGAGGCCGCCTCCAGCACTGCACAACTTCAGAAGCTTCAAGATGAATTGGAGCTCAAGTCATTTGAAGTGGAACTTCTTTCCTTCATGATGCAATCAACTTGCTCAACTCTAAATACTCAATCTGGACACTTTCAAAGCTTGTCGGAAAGGTTGTCGTGGGAGCTGGAACGCAAGCAACATCAGCTGATCTCGCTCACAACCTCTCATCAACAGAATCAAGAGTTACTGTATGAATCCAAATTTAAGGAAGATCAGCTTCAGGCGGAGCTTTTGGACTTGAAAAAAGAGGTTTCGAAAAGCGAGTGTCATATTGCACGTGCTGCGCAAACGATTAGTCAACTGGATGAGACTGTGGAACACCTACAATCAGAGCTTCAGCGCAAAGAAGAGCTTCTGCATGGGCTTGAGTTTGACATCAGACTCCTGCAAGAGCACGCTGCTGAAGAAACTGACTTCAAACAGGAGATTATCGAAGCAAACTCCAGAATTCGTGAGCTTGAGGGAGAAGTTCAGAGGAAATGCGAAGAGCTGAAGGAATTGAGCTCAGCGGAAACTTTTATGAAGGAGCAGCTTGCACTCAAAGCCGCAGCGGTGAAGCGTATGGAGGAGGAATTTGAGAACTTGCGAACCCCTGTTGGACTTGCGATCATTGAAAGTCAAGCCCTAAAATCCAAGGTTATGCAGTTGCAAACAGATGTGAGTGCGAAGGAAGAAGAATTGGCAAATAAAGCCCATGCCCTGAGCTCTTTGGATAAAGAGTTGATGCTTACCAGGGTTATTTCAACGCGTATGACCATGGAATGCAGCCACAAGTCTGAAGCACTAGAAGCACTGCAAAGTGTAATGCAGAGAGTTTCAGCTGAAAATGATGGTCTGAAAGCACAGTGCTCCGTTCTGATGGATGAGGTGAACGCTTTACAGGGAAAGATAACGCAACAATCTGCAGAGATGCAGGTTTTGCATGGAGAGCTTCTGGTTTCTATCATGATGGAATATTGCTTGCAGGAAATGAATTCAGATATTAGTCTCTCATCAGGGTCTTTCGCTACAAATAACCAAAGAATGAATGATCTGGAAGCTAAGATTGAATCCGTGGTGAACGAGAGAGATTCTTTGAAGGCAGAGGTTGGTCACAAAGAGGCGACAATAGGCTTGTTGCAGAGTGAGTTGATCAAAGTTAAAAAGGTTGCTGATCATTTTTCCCACGAAGCATCTGCTTTTCAAGCTCTAATTGTGGAGCTTCAAGGGGAGAAAGCAAGCTTCGAGGCCGAACTTTCGTGTAAGACCACTTTGATCATGTCTCTTGAGGCAGAATTAGCAAAAGTTGACGTCGTTTCGACGGGAAAACTCAACGCCTTCGAAGGATTTGGGGAGCTCAGGACCGTGAAGGATGAAAGGAACAAGGCTCTTGAAAAAGTTCAGGAATTGGGTAATGAGCTAAGAGCAGTCCAGGCACTTGTGGCCTCCTACGAAGCCTCTGCTCTTGAGACTCGGAAGGTAAGACAATCTGTACTCACCATTCACAGAAATTGTCTTTCGTCTGCTTTTCGAATATTGTTTTGAACACTAACTGTGTTTTCTTGTCGTTGATGCAGTTTTCTGAGGCAATCATTATACGTGCAAATGAAAAGGACGAAGAATCCAGGGCACTTAGGGCATCTGTTATCTTATTAACTGATAAAAACTCTGCATTAGAATCACAGGTATACGTCAAGCTGAGTTCCGAATCGTCCACACCTCTAAGTTTCTGATTGTGATACGTGCTGGTTGTTGATTGATGATTTTTGTTAAAAATATGACGAGGGATTTCGTTTGCAGTTAGAGGCCATGAAACTTGAAGGTGATAAACTAACGCAGGCACGGAGTGACTTTGAGACCGAGCTCCAGGGCATGAAAAGCCGCATGTCAATATTACAAGCTGTGCATAGCACTGGGTCACGAAATCACAGGGGGTTTCAGACTGCAACACCAGCAAGCCCTGATCTGAAAAGGTTGGTTAAATTTTCCACATTTTGGGTTTCTCTTATTGCATGTTCCTACAGTACAAAATCTAATTTTTATCGTTTCTTAATACTCTCATAAGTTAAATAACTGATCTTTCAATGCCACCGCATGATCATAACAGGATGCTTGAGGAGAAAGAAGCTGAGGTGGCTCAGTCATGCAAAAGAATTGCTGCACTTCAGAGTGAAAATGCGACTCAAGAAAAAAAGTTAGAAGAGCTGGGATCTGAACTTGCACAGGCACACCAGGAGCTCAAAACAATGAGTACCCAATGGGAAGACAAAGAAGGACAGGTATTATTGACCAAGATCTGTGCAGACCCAAAATGGTTAGGTCTAAATTTTTAAACTAAATAACACAGTTTAGGTCAAAGATTTTATTGTACCTGAATTCTTCGTGAAGTTTATTATTTCTGAGGATCACTATTTAATACAAATTGTGTGTTAAGCAGTTGAGCAAATTGACCTTGTTGAACAAAGAAGCTGAAACATTGACTCAGGACGTTATGCAAGACCTTCACAATGTTAAATTAGATATCGGCAACTATGCGGTGGGTGTTTCTCTGATATGAATGTCTGCACAGTTTCTGAGCATCACATCTTTGGTAAATCATTTGTAGTTTTATTTTCAAGTGAAACAAACAAGCGGTCGTGTTGAAGCTAGCCTTGATGAAATTGTGGTGCAGGCTCTTGTAAGCCAGCAGCAGCTAGAGCTGATTGCTGAGAGATCTCAACATGCTGATGAAGTACGAGAGAAGGACGAAGAGCTCTCCAACTTACGAGCACAGTTGAATCAAGAACGACAAAAGTAAATTACCTGACAATCAGTTCTTCCTCTCTCTTATGTCCACTGATTTTGCCATAAATCACAATACATATGCTTGCAAGCGAGACCTTATTTTTCTGTTGAACCACAGTTGGATGCAGGAAATGAACCACAAGCAGGCAGAGATTGTCGTTGGCCGAGCTCTGTCGGAAAAGATGAAGCTGAAGAACAAAACCCTAATTGCCGATTACAAAAAACTCAAGGTATACATATTTCTCGATGAAATTGCAAGTAGTCTACCATTATTTTCTTAAGATGTACATCCACTTTTGGTGTTTCAGGATCAACATTACACTAATGCCCTTCTTCTGCAGGTTGATTTCTCTAAGAAGAAAAAGAAACTCAAACTCTTGGAGCAAGAAATGACGAAACTCGCGACTGACGCTCAAAAACATTCCACAGACCTGGAGAGTGCCGCTGATTTTGACGAAGTGCAACAGTTTCAGGCTCTTTTAGCTCAAGCCAAAGAGACGAAGAGGTTCTCCAGGGCCGAGGACAGTGATGCTGACTTTGATGAACTGCAACAATTTCAAGCACTTCTAGCTCAAGCAAATGATCATGAATTTGGGCGAAGTCAGTAACATCGGCGAACCGTCAATATCAAGTGATGTAAAGTATTGGTCCATCCAATACCTTTGAAGATCCCCTAGATACACGTCGGAGCGTACTGTCCCAGCAACATTATTAATTCTTCAGGTAATGTGTCCAACGTCTTCATCTGAATCGCACCAGTCCTAATCTCATTCACATGATATTAATCCGGTTGGTAAACTCAAATTTAAACCTTTCACGTCTGTAAACCTTCTTGCTCACGACGAATGCAGGTATGATACAAAGAGGAGGAGATAGGAGCTGATAGACACCTTCACTTGTACAACACGGCACTCTTTCATTCCGCTCATCAATTCATCAGTGTCTAGCTCATGACTCATCTTTCGTAGAAGACCAAGAGTTAAATTTGACTGTACTACTGTGAGTCTCAAAGAGAGACTTGAGCTTAATTCTTGTCCACCTCACAGCCTTGAAAGCTGAACAAGTTATACCTCATGTACACTACTGCTTCCTGCGAAATGTTTATACTGTGCAATACAAATCTGCCTTCGAACTTTTCTTTCTTCTGCAATGCTGCCTGAGACTGAGAACGTTCGTCTCTTTACTAAAAGTCCATGCTCTTAGCAATTTACATTTATTTGTTCGTTCTTATACAATGAGATTGATTCTAGTATCAGAGACACCTCTTCACTAGTGTTTTGTCAGCTTACCAAGCTTCATAGTTCCTTCGTATTCTGTCAAGTGTGAAGATTATTGCTACCTACGCATTTCTCACGCAGTTGGGAATTCACGTTGAGTGAATGCAAGTCCGAGGGGACGGTTCTCTAGGCGCACTATTTGTGCTGGAACATTTTAAGGAGTATTGAAACGAAGTTCAGTACATTTTGATATAAAATCTAGGATGGGCAACGATATTATTGCCATTCAGGTCTCTGGCTTTCAATTTAGCAGATTCCTTTTAGAGGTGGCCTTTTTGGGGCTAGGGGCATGCAGCATGGGTAAACGTTTATGAAGACTGCGTCGCAACACTGGAGAGACTTCAGCATACACTTGTGAACCAGACGTGATGTTTCTGTCGACTTGTTTTATTTGCTGTGACATACAGTCAATCACTTTCAGATATGTCAAATGGCCTCAACTTTTGGCAACACGTCAACAAATCAAGGGTGTGTGAACACCTTCCACCATGTAATATATGAGCAACTCAAGCAAACGAGGAGTGGATCAAGTGGAGCAATACTTGAACAGAAAACAAGGCGGGGTATAGGCAATGTATACTGTTTCTTTTTTGTGCATTGCATATTGCTTCGGTTTAGATTTACATTGGCCTGCTAGCGACCATACTTTAAGTACATAGGCTATCAACCGACATCTACAATAATTGGCGAAATACACCATAGCTGTGCAGCTCCTCATAAATTTGAACCACAGAGAATAGCCGTGCCGGCACCAAATCAACTCCAACGCATTATATCGCCTTGGTTATCTCGATTTGGTGTTGTGAGGCAAAATAGACTCACAGCTTCTCCTCTCCTCACCCAGTGAGCATGCGCAAGGAAAGAAGCATTTTCTCTAAATCCCAATTGTCAAATTCAGCCACAACTCTACAGTCTCCACGATGTGATGCATTCCCTAAACGCCAAAAAAATCTGTACAACAGCACCACGGCCATGGTCACGACAATTGTTGAAGAGCGATGATCTCCACATCCTTAAGCGGCAGGTACACCACCGCTGCACGCTTGGACGTGCGTGCTTGCGCCCCAAGCACGGCTGTTCCTGCACCAATCAACCTCCCCTTGCTCAATTGCAAGCTCCTGCAACACTGCGATAACAACGGCGCGACCAGAGTCCACATACTGTCTTCTTCACTCGCTTCTTCGCGTTAATCCGCAAAACCCATAATAATTTCAAGGACAGCTCTCACAACCCACGACGGATTCTTCACTTTTCCCAAAACCCAACAACTCAATATCAATGGAAGACGATTGTGAACTGGGTGGGAGACGAAGGCAAGGCTTTATGAGAGGCGTATTGCAATGGGGTGAGTCATCGGAGTTGGGCTCTGCGAAGGTGACTCTGCAAAGAAATCGAGGTGAAGCATTGCAGACGGAGTGCACTCGGTTGGTCATCGGCGCGGTGATACGCGCTTCGTTGCTGCTGCCACCTTCTACTTTAAATGTTACTTTAAAGTAGATTTTAATACTTGACCCATGTCTCTGTGTGCATGTCGATGTAATTTGCCGACGTTGCAAAATTGATGCACTATTGATTCGATGTAAAAGATGTGATGTCACGGCTATCGAACTCATTCAACATTATTCTTATAATTTTAAGCAAAACCAATCATTACGTTAATAGAAAAAGTAATTTAAAATAATGGGAGTTTCGATGTGGTTTATTTGTAATTAATTTTTCATTTATGCATTGTTATTTTTGGTTTGTTTTTTTAAATTATTATTAGTTCATATAATTGATGTTTTTTTAATAATGTAATTTTTTATTAGGTAAATAATATTGTTGGAACAACTAGTTTTTGATGTAGCTGTCGTTGATAATATTTCTAAACTTAATAAGCTTCTTTATTAAAATCAATGGATTTCATAAAATAGCTATAAAAATCTTTTAAAAAAACTGAAAAAACCCTTTTAAAGAATTTTAAAGAAGATGATACGATATCGTAGAAAAAGCCACGATTTAAAGAAAAATGCTTAAAGAAACCAATGCTTAAAGAAATTTCTACCTAATGGATGAATGAGAGACTTTATAACAAACGTTGAACAACAGAACGGGATGATTGAAGACTGGGCACGTCCTTGACGTACCTACTGAACTCCGTTGGCTGTTCGTCCATTAGACTTGGACGATATTCGTTTTAATTTGCGACGCCCGTCGGTTTTTGAGCCCCCGTTGCTCGCAGGAGGGGGCGAATGGGCCTGAGTTCATGCCAATGATTATCTCACATCATCTTCAATCCAGGCGTTGCAGCCCGCGTTCAGCAGCGTCGCTTTGGATCGTCGGAACTGTGATGTGTGGTTTGTAAGTTGAAGCTTCGCACTGATTCTGATATGAACCTTTCACCTCTTCCGTTTCTTTTGTTTCCTCGGATCTGCACTTCTCAATGGGCTCTGGAACTTAGGTTTCGGATGCGGATTTGAAGTAGATTGAGGGTGAATTTTTTGAGTTTCTCGCGAAGATTTTGTTGAGCGATTGGACATTGGTAGGCTTCACACAGGTAATGATGTTGGCAATCAATAGTCGCATGAGGTGCAGTGGGATGTTATGCATTTATTGCCGCACCTGGCTAGGCATTTAGGACTAGTGCGAGATTGTGTGAGAGATTTTTTGGACTTGTGTGGTTGTGAAGACTTCTTTGCAATTTGCTGTGCCTTTTGGCACATTGTCACTCGAGGTGAAGATTTTCGAGGTTTTATGCGCTTGTATGTGGTCGTGTAGGTGGTGAATACTACGATTCAACTCGATCTTCTGGTGGACAATGTAACTCAAACCCGTTGATTCATTTATTATGATGTAATTATTGTCATTTTTCTTATTTTTCATGGAAATGCCAAGCTTTCTAACCAGGTAAGTCTTCGAAGGTTATTGCGTTTATGCTGTGGAATAGACGTGTGCATTAAAAGATATTCTACACCAATTATATTGATTCTTGTGTGAATGTTCGTTTCTGAATTTTAAGCTGGTTTTTTTCCCTGTTGTTTTTGTTTTTGTTTTTCGTTTCATTTTTATTTTTTATACTATTTGAAATTGCGTACGTTTTCAGTATGATGTCCATAGAGTTCTAGGGTGAGGTTGGCGAGCTTATCACTCTATTAACATTCTGAGTTCATTGAATATCCTGGTTTTGCAAAATCTTGTGCGTTACTTCTGTGATAGTTTTAGCTGCACGACGTTCCGTCTGACACTGCTGTTAGTCATCCCTGCCGCCCTGCATGTTGATGGTAGAGTTTGATTGATGTCAAGTTGCAGTGTAACTTAGCAATTCACTTTATAATGCATGACTTGCCCACATTTTGTAACACATGTTCCAAGATGGACCTTGATTATGTCATATCCTGAAGCGCACAAATCCTTGATTTCTGCGAAAATTTGCTTGTGAAGAGCGTCACGAAGCAGGCACTGGTGACTTGTTTGTATCGAGAATTCCTTTGTAGAATGCGACCAGTTTTAACTTCTCAGTGGAACGATTCATGTTTTGGTATGCTAATGCGGTTTTGTTTCAGGCGTTGATGAATTGATTTGAAGAATCCGAGTACCTGCGTTTTACTCCCGCTGGCGAATTGGCTTGAGGCTGTTGCGTTTCACGATGTCTGGCATGAACAATATCGACCACAACACGTCGTCGCAGTCGGATATCGATGAGATCGAGAGTTTGTTTCACATTAGCGTACAGCCTGCAGCCCTAGAGGTGCCCCGGTCGGTTCCTCCCGCTCGGAAACCATCCAGTCCTCCAAGGATCCCTGTCTCTGCGCCCCTGTTGCCTCCTTCGTTTGTTTCCAGCAGCAACCAAGCGTTTTCTACCCCTGTGCAGTCTGGGCCTACTCCTTCAACAGGTGTGTTCGATAGACTACATGTTCTGAAAGTATGAGAACTAGCTCTGGAATGCAGTTCGGACTCCTAGCGTTAGTGCACATATTTGATCACGGAAAACTTGGAACGACAGTGGGAGTTACCAGACGGAATGTTTATTTAGCATGTAGGTCTGTTTCTCGTTTTGTCCGCGGACCCCACAAATTCTGTCTCTTGCTTTCTGTGTAACTTTGAGTCTCTTCCTTTTTTACAGCCTCAGGAGGTCATGTTTGTGCCATTAAAGTTGAGAAATGGCGAACGATGATGGATTTGCTAGCTAGATTTTCCGGATTATTCCAGACCGTGGTTATTCTGAGCTGTTGCGATTTCAGGCGCAGGGTTTGGTGGAGGTCCTCAGTACAATACTTTAACAGAACCCGTGAGGGAGACCCTGAAAAGAGACTTGTTGCGTGTGGCTACCAATCTGAAGGATGTGGTACTACCGAACCCGTACCGTGAAGATCCAGGCAAGGCGTTGAGGGATTGGGATCTGTGGGGCCCCTTTTTCTTCATCATATTTCTGGCTTTGACGCTGTCGTATTCAGCTACAGAGAACAAGTCGAAGGTGTTCGCTGTGGTTTTTGCGACACTGTCGGCTGGGGCCATTGTGCTGACTCTGAATGTGCAGCTCCTGGGCGGCAGTATCATCTTCTTCCAGAGCTTGAGCGTTTTGGGATACTGCTTGTTTCCTCTGGATGTGAGCGCGCTAGTGTGCCAAGTGAATAACACGAAGTTGTTCCGGAGCTTGGTGGTTCTGGTTGCGTTGGCGTGGAGTTCTTGGGCGGCGTATCCGTTCGTGAGCACGGCAGTACCATCGAGTCGGAAAGCTCTTGCGGTGTACCCGGTGCTGCTGCTGTACATAACGGTCGGGTTTCTCGTATTGGCCAATGACTAGAAGTGCTTCGGATTGACCGTTTAATTTTGGTTGCCTACATAAGTTGGGCAGCTGTGGTAGTAGAACATTCAATTTTCATTTCATCAGTAGATGAATTTTATTTGTCCAGCTGCAGAGCGGGATGATGGTGCAGACGAGGACTGTTCCATATTTGAAATTGCAGCAAGTGCAAATGTGGCGCGCAGGTTTTACATCCCTTGTAGGAGCCTTTCGACGGTGGCCTTGGTGACCATTTCCTTATGAAAATGCTACGTCTCATGTGATGTTCAAGAGAACTATGTACTGGTAGTGCCCTTCCAAAGTCTAGTGAGGTCTCATTGAGTTGCACATCGGTGAATGTTCATCTGGTAAGATATTAGTGTGTTGGGTGTTCTTGATTAGTGTTATAACCTTTCAGATAATTTTCATAACTTGTCGGCCAATTTCTCTTGTAGAAACAAAGCATGGAGAGTTCTAGAAGTGCATAATTTTGTTACCTGTATGTACAAGTTTTGGTACCAGTCATACTTGTAGAGTATGATCTTCAAGTCCACTTTATAGTCCTGGAGCGAAATCTGTAACGAAAGCATCTGGAAGCTTGCCAGTGAGCTTTGGATTGGCTGTTTGCACAGCATTTGGAACTCGAACATGGCTCGGATTATGTTTTATCTTATTTAACCCCAAGCTCTGAAAATTGTCGGTTATCATGAATGCCACCTGGGAGCTTGGTCAATGGAACAATCTGATGAAGATGTTCTAAGACTGAGCCCTAGCTCTTTCACAATGGGAGTCTCTATGGATATGAACCTAGAAAAATGAATTTGATGAGGGATGTGTTGTGATACTCTAAGTTTTACAGTCAATACCATCCAAAACGTCACATGAAGAATTGACCAAACCAAATGCAGCAACGGCCAAGGAAATGAAGTCCAATAAATCCGGACAAGTTCTTTTGTTTCTCAATCATGAAGGCTTCAAAGCATACAAATACTGGGAGAGCATACCATTCCTGTAAGCATGTGTTGGTCGTTGGAATTTTTGCGTGAGGAAAGGTGGTATGAGCAGGACATTAACCACAACATTTTTGCGCAATCCTATGCTTTTGAGTTACATTTTCTGTCTCTCGTATACATCATACAAGTTGGGGAATAGATCCACTGGTTGGATATATATGCATGTTTGTGTGTGTGTGTTTAAGATTGTTTGCAGGTTGCTCATCACACATATATTGGCGCTTTAGTACCCACATAGATTGCAATCCCTGCCAAAATACACTTTTTTATTTTTGCTTTCTCAAATATGTGGATGAAGTATTAAATATAATATTCATGTGAAGCTTGATCTAGTAGTTGAGGAACAAGGTTGGGATGCTGGCAGATTGGGCAAGACACGCTACGTCGTGTGCAAAGATGGAGGGGCAAAAACCAAGCGATCCAATGCTTGTCGCCAACACGCTGCGTCGCTCACGTCGGGTTCCAGTTGCACACATTTCTTGATTTGCCCCTACGACGCAACCCTTTTATCTCCCTTTTCCGATTCGATAATGGTTTGACAATTCTATGCCAGGTCTTCATTTGCAGCTACTACTTTCTATCCAGTCTTAAGTCCCTTCAATTCTTTCACGTGTTTGGCCTGAAATTTCACACCACCCACGTCACACATAGTTTCTCGGTGATTCGTGCTGTTGCTTTGGAGCACAAGTCGATTTGACATTGCCGACAGTTCGTTTCCAATGGAGGAACAGAAACTGTATGACATTCCAGCAAAATGTAGCATTTGAGGGTGAGGGAATCAACAATCAAATCAGTCTTGTTGTTCTGGCGAATTCTCGTGGTGCAGTAGTACAGATTGGTGCCCAGTCGTGCAATAACTTGGGGTCCCCCTTAGCTCATAAGCTTGCCAGAGAGCAAAGCGTCCGAAGCCAGCATCGCTGTCTAGGAGGGATAGTTTGGCTCCTCCTAGCCTGTTCTGTCTTTTACTAGGGGAATAGATATCACAATACATCACATCTAGATGTTATGTGTAACAACGTGACAAGGAGTGCATCGAAATCAAACACTAGATTGAAGGTAGACTATTTCAGCTCATTGAAAGCTTGCAACCAATGAGGTGATCTTTTCAAATTGTTGTAGGGACCTTGCAGTTTAACAACTCCACACCAAAATCATCAAATATATATTTTATGGTACCACTAGATCCTACACCTTGTTTTAAACTTCTTATAATTATTAATACTTAAAATTATGGATTCTTTGGTCAACCACTTTTAGATGTCAAAGCCTCGATGAAGATTTTACATTGCAACAAAAAATTGATATTCTTAAAAAAGATCCCAAGAGCTTTATTGGATGTTATACTGCATAACTACTTGTATTTAGAAGTATTGTAGAAGAGATTAAGCCATTCAAAGTGACATTAAGAGATCAAGTATTTGTCATTGTCTTCAACATTGTTTGATATTCTTCAAATCTAGTGATACTTGGCCTCCCTCGGTTTGAATTACATAATTTTGATATTCATTAGATGTTATAAAATGTCTCCTAAAGATCTAATCTCAGTGTCAACAAACCATCTTGATGTTTATTTTTTAAAGATAAAGGTCTTATTTTAGCTTTTTCTATTAGAAATATTGTTACTATTAAAAAAAAACAAAAACAAACCACATTGTAAAACCTCATGTTTGTATTATGAAAAAACACGTCATAAGGTACAAGATTATTGTATCATTGTAAGATTATAAGGTCATAAGATTGCAAGGTCATAAGTTATAGGATTATTGCATTATTACATATCAATAGGATTTAGAGCAAGGAGCATGAATTCAAACATAAAAAAATTAGAAAATAAAGACATCCATTATAAAAAGACCTTGCAATTAATAAATACTAGACCACAAACATTAAATACAAGTCCCATACTACAATAAGATCCTACACCTTTTTTTAAACATCCTATAATTGCTAAGATTCCAAATCATGAATTTTCAATTCAACCAATTGTAGACATTGGAGCCACGACATGTTTTAAGCTTAAAGACTTTACATTATAACAAAAATTGATACTTTCATAAGAAATCTAATAGGATCTAGTAGAAATTATTGATAGACAATGACACACATTGGAAAAGTTATCATAGAAATCAAGCCTTTGAAAGTAATATTAGGAGATCAACTTTGTAAAATTGTCTTTAACATTATCTAATGTCCTTCAAATCTAGAGATAACTGGCCTTCAAGATATGACCTATATCATCTAAATAGTGATAGAAAAAAATAAAAGGTTATTTAAGGACCTAGTCCATATGCTTATAAAGCATCATAACATTTATTTGTTTGCAGTAAGACATTCAAGCAAGCCACAAAAGAAATAGATCCATTTCTCTTCTATGAAATATTAAGTCTTCAAACAAATAAAAGATGAAATAGAGTCCCCAAGCATTCAAAAAATTATAATCTTTTAGAAGTTGGCAACATATAGAGGATCATATGCATCTTCCATTCATTAGTCTTATCTATAAGTTAAATTTTTTCTTTATTACCCATGTATGTATGTATGTATATATATATATATATATATATATTATGACAGATAATTATTTTAAAAATCTTGTGACTTTATATTATTTTCTTCGGAATCAATTTGTCAACTTGCATAAATAATCCCTTCATAACAAAATCATTTGCATTTATTTAGAATGTAGCAAAACCTAACAAGTCTCAATACAATTATAAAATGTTATATAAAAGGTAACTACTATAATAATTTTAGTTTGTATTCTTATTTCAATGGTAATTAAGAAACACATCAAACACACAAGAACTATCGTAACACTATTGCACAGGTAAAATGAAGAATTTTATTACAATTGAATATAAAGAACTGAATTGTTTTAATTACCACAACCGCCATGAAGAACTCATGAATACATCACAGCAATTACTTAAAGAAAATGTAACATTACAAAAAGTACATTGTTTTGATGGAAGCCAAAAAAACAAACAAACAAACAATACAGAAATCGGTGCGGGGTGACAGTAAAGGAGAAAATAAATAAAAAAAAATCTCCACTTCACAAATGATGAATCTGAGACATGTGCCCATCCCTTGCATCGAAGCCATTCTGGATCATCAATAACACAACTAATTTGACATTCTACGAATTCAATCTTCGCAACTTTCACTCGTTGCAAATCGGCCAACACAAACACACGCTGACGAATGGCTCCACGTCTGCCTTGCCACTCCACGCCACGCTTGCCCATCCAAGCGCACTTCCAAGTGGCGCCCACTCTTCTTTGCAACTCCCTACCCTCCACATTTCTGCACCCACCCCGCTGCTTTTCTATGGCTTTCCAGGTTTTAGAGTTTTCCCCTCGCCGCTAACTTGGCGAGTGCCATGACACCCACGTCTCCTGTTTCCAATGAACTCAGTTCCACGTACCCTGTGCACTGCAGGAGAGCCTGGATTCTTCCTCACCGACTTGCTCTATAAGAAGGCCCACGTTCTCCCAACTCCACATCACGCGTTCACGCACACCGACGAACCACCTTCGTTTCACGTCGCAGTTGAACAACGCAGAACAATCCTTGTCCAAGACCCGGTTGGACGCCTTCCCCATAAGCAGGAGTTTGCAGAAGGGCTGCGAGAAGCTTGATCGTGCGCACTCAGATAAGCGCATACACACACAGACACACTCAGAATGGCAACCTCAAGCGTGATGTTCCGGATCAGTGCCCCCACGCTGAGCAGCTGCGACGCTGGCAAGGCCAACCTGCAGCGCTCCAAATTGATCGGTGCTGCATCCCCGTCGTTGGCGACGCTCCGGCCGCGCAAGCAGAGTGTTCGTTGCGAGGCAGGCAACGACCGAGCGGGCGGTTTAAAGGAGGCCGTGGATCGGGCCACGAAGAAGAGCATCACCAAGGACGACATCTTGCGCAACCAAGAGAGCAATGAGTCCGAGAAGAAGTTGGTGATGGGCACGGAGCCCACTTCCGGGTCCTTGTACCCTCGTACAGAAGTGGAGAGGAGGCCTGAGACCGGCGACAAGTCCTTCACCGGCGTGTTTGCGTTCGATGGAGCGGCGCCGGAGACCATCAACGGGCGCTTGGTAAGGCAGACTTCCCATGGATTTGGCTTCGCAATGTGCACGCAACTTGGGGAAGGGAGGGGGCTGCGCAAAGCTTGGGTGGCGTAGCATGTAGAGTAGGAGGGCTGGATGGTTTGCTCGGCAGCTTCCGAATGCTGTTTTGCACTTCGTGTCCCTTGACTGTGGCGATGCTTGGCAGGCAATGTTGGGGCTCGTGTGGGCCTTCATCGCCGAGAAGGCCACGGGATTGACGGTGTTCGAGCAGCTGTACACGCCAGGGCAGACGGGGCTGGTGTTCTTCGTGGGAGCCGTGCAGCTGTTCACGTATGCTTCGTTGGTGCCCATCATGAACGGCGAGTCCACGGATGCGCGGAGCTTCGGTCCGTTCACGGCGCGAGCCGAGAGGTGGAATGGGCGGTTGGCCATGATAGGATTTCTGTTGCTGGTGGTCATCGAGATGTTCCGACACGCACCTGTGTTTCACTGAGCGGAGAGTCCACGGAGTTGCCTACGTTAGTGCGAAGCTTGATGCGTCAGCGGCGTCGGCTGGAGAATGCCACCCATGTAGGCGGAAGAGCACTTTGTACAGATTTGAGCGAGCGATGAGCCGGAGGAGTTGCAGGCATTGCTGTAGAAAGAGGGGGAGAGAGTGTATAATGTGTGAATGTAATTAAAAGATTTTGAGAATTGGCACCTTCTGATGTGGTGTGGTATGGTGTCGCGTGGAAGTCGAATTGAATGGCGCTGTCGGGTACGGTTGGATAGTCGGGGTTGAAGGTTGGGTGAGGGTGTCATGAAATAGCTTAAGAGTGTGTTTTTATTTTGTGGAATATGTGGTTTGACAATAGAAGGGTTGTCTTTGCCGAGGTGGGTAATTTAGAATGTCGAGTTTGGTTGAATGCAGTGAAGAATATTTGAAAGGCAAGGTAGGCTGCGGTTATCTGCGCAGGTGTAGAACAGACTCCAAATTGCTGGTTGTGAAGTAATTGTGAACGTATTTGAGGAATATGAAAGTTCGATGAGACATTGACGCGGTCGGTAAGATATTCACCTCATCATGGTTAACAATTGTCCCCTTACAATGCCCCATCTTTTGTCGCAATGGAAGGAAACCATTCTCTAGAGCAGGAACTAAATTTGGATGAGATTGCTAAAAATGAAGGTCGTAGCTGTGAACAGATTTACTGCTCAACGGCCAATGTTTGCAACCATTCCGAATAACCAACCTTCGCAGTATGGGACGTGATCAGTAGTCATGGTCAGACTGACATCACAATCACTCCCCCAATCAGCAGTCGGCAGAGTTTGTCCTTTCTCAGAAGCAAACGAAAGTTGCGTACAGTTCAACCATTGATCTCAACCAAACGATCGACTTTTAATGAGGTAACTCTCTGGTGCTAGCACAAATCAAGAGACGGCAATTAACGTGTGAAAAAGTCTAAATCACCATCGAATGCAATGCAGCTAGAACAGCGAAATCAGTTTTGCGAGCAACAGTTGGACGCATTCCCCACGAAACATTGCATTCAGCGGCACCAGGACTCATTGCCCTGCAGAAAGTCATGATTCAACTTCAGACTTTGAAGCCAGCGAAGACACTTCCGAATAATTCACAAGCTGGTCACACTTCACAAACTAAGTCAAAATTAAAAAAGTTTCTAAGATGCCGCCTCCCTCTTACTCACGATCAGAACGCCGCTTGCCAGTGCCGACCCTTCACGAGTGAAAAGATTTACGAACAAAATCATACCAACGTTTAATGCCACCAAAACTTTTGCCACAGCCACAACTTATTCTTATTAACTTTTCAATAATTTTTTATTAAAATTTAATTTAATTCCTACATAATTAGAAAAAAAATCATATTGAGATATTGATAGAATTTTTTATTGGAATAAAAAGATAAACAATCAATAAAAAAAAAAACTAAGGAAAACTGGAACTACCACCACAATTTTGTGATATAACATCTAAACAACACATCGAATACAATTATATCTATACCAACTATTTATAGTTATATGTATTAATTAGATGTGACAGTAGAATCAACTAAATAATACATAGAATAAAAAATAGAAAGTGTTCTTAAGATTAGACTTTTCAGATAATAAAACAGAACAAAACAAAAATAAAATTCATTCAAATGGACAAATTATAACAGTGACCAGCTGAATTGAATCTCACCTCCCAAAAGAAGGAGGAAAAAATAAATAAAATAAATGAAACATCAAAAAAAATAAAAATTGTGACTAAAATTAATTGCACCACAGAATAAACCATGACATATGTTCCATCTCTCAAACAAAAGAAAGGGGCCGTAGATCCCCCCTCCCAGACCATGGCAACTTGTGTGAAGATTTCAAATGCAAGAATGAGAGTTAAGCAATTTTTGAGCTCTGCTATCGAAGGTTTGATGGAGTGTCCGCTTCACTGATGACTCTGCAAAAGCAAAGTCAATTGCACTTCTGGCAAGTGTCGTTACTTCCTCGGGTTTTAGGGCTGCAACAAAGCAGAAAAATGCATCATTGATCAGAAAATAAAAGACCCAGAAACGATTCAATTTACCCATCCATAGCAGAACGTTTTGGGGAATCAAAATGTTAAGCAGGCTGTATTCTACGAACCTGCTACTTTGAATGCTTATGTTTGGTAAGCATTTACACGATTAAAAGTCTTACAGCTGAGAGCTTACCAAGACAAGAAGCTGCTAAAGCAAGCTCTCGGGACAGACTAGTAGCAAAGATGCCGGTGTCATCAGTGCAGATAGCAATGGGGTGATCGGATTTGAGAAGTACCGCTGTTATAAGCAAAAACACAACTTGAGAATTCTCGGATTAGAGAACAAAATATACTCAGCAGCAAGTAATTTTACAGGAGATGGCTGAGAAAATGATGAAAATCTACTCAAGAACGAGGTTCTCGATGATCTAAGTCAAGTGTGTCACGTTGGATTTAGAGAGGAGAAAAACCAGCCCATCACATATTTCATAACAGTTAGAGCTGTAGGATAGGATTAAGCTCTGAATATCATATAAAAATCAATGACAATAGATAAACCGATGGACACCAGATAACGAAGAATAAGCGGTGACCAGTCTCGAGAATGACCTAAATGGTGTTCTTCGATAGAAGGCACACTCTGCGTAGCCAGGTTAGAGGTGAGGCAAACCTCCACCTGCATGTTCAACCACCCCACGCATTCAATAGCGTCAACCTCTTATGAACTTAAATCCGTACAATAAGATTTTGAAAAACCTGGCAAACTCTGATTTCTAAGACCCTTCGATACAATGCGAACCAAAATCACATTGTTAGTCCTATCGCATACCTACCTAGTCTTATTTTCGTCACTTAACATTAACCAACTGTTATTGAGTTCAGCAAACTTGCCCATATAAAATCATTGGCGATCAGTTTAGGACTTACTGGAATACGAGAGGCGAGTAGCACCTCCCACTCATAGTTGTCCAAACAACATACGTGACCAAGACGCTCTGGGCGCATGGCAAGCATGCTGCGTATATCCTCAGAATTTCGCACCTGCGTAACAAGTCAGGTTCCCTATAATCTTCAGCCCCAGTATGGCTTTTACCCAAGGTAATTCATTCATCTAATCACGATGGAAATAAGCAAGCATCCAAGAAGTCAATAACACATCTTCAAAAAGAACTTTGATCACAGGTATCAAGAAGAAAGATAAAACGAGAAAAATTGCATAATTAAATTACGAATAATATGAATTTTCTTGAGGTCATGTTGAATGCAACCTCTCCACAATGAAGAGCTAGTGGAAATCCCTGCTCTCGAGCAAACATCAACGCTGGCGCAAATGTAGTCCTGAACGCGGAGACACTAAAAGCTGAGAAAAAAGAGGCAGATAATCAATTATATGTACGGACACTACTCTGTGATAATTTCAAGGAGAAAATTAAAGGCGGCTCCCCAACAGTTGATGAAGCTATACTTCTTAAAACACAACTGATTTTGTAGCGGTCCCCTTGAAAAAACTCAATGACCCTAGTAGAACTCGTACCATTCTCCAATGGCAGGATCGCCCGACAAGTCAATGCCTGCAATGTCCCATCCTTCTTTCCGCAACTCGCAAGCAAGGCGCACCTACAACGGTTAAAACACGATTCTGTACCGGAGTTATACAAAAGTGTAGAGATCCACGCTGTTATTAGAGTGAAGTTGTTTCATAACCATTAATGAACGACACAATTTTCGTCAGAACATCATCCCAACCCTGTACCCTGCAAAACCCAACAAAATAAGACATGTCGCAGTAACTTGCAAGACAGTTTTGAAATCATAATGATCACTTTAAACCCTAAACCCATATCCACAAGAATTGAAAGTTAGGCGCTCACTGTATCCATCGCTGCTTCTGTTGTCTCCCTACGGTCTATGCTTAGGATAAGGCGCACATGGATAGGCGACACAGGAGCAGCAATATCCAGGCCTACCTTAACCGATTCCATGTATGACCGCTTTGTCATTCCAACTGCAGAATTATTCTGTTTCAGCACAATGTAAGGTCCTGAGACAACTCGGTAATACAAATGTCGTATCGATCATGCTTCTTAGCTTCGCATTTAAGCAGGATGAGGAATCTCCGCAAATTCCAGATGAAGATAGAATGCGTCTGAGGGAAAACATACTGTTACCTTAGGAGCAGTGCGGAGCTCAATGTATATGGTATTCTCAGCCGCAAAATCTTCAATGACCTACATGTCAAGTGTTAGATATTCAGCGTCTGGGTTTGTTTACTTCTTGACGATTGCTGTGCACTTAGATTGGATGCTAGATTCTGTCTCACCTCTCGAGTGATACGTGTAATAACGCGATGGTCAGTAGTCAAAATACGAATGAGACCAAACAGTTTGAATGTCTCTGGCAGGGATCTCTTATCTGCAGGCATCAGAACAGATAAATTCTGAGACAAGCATCAGGATGTGCAATCAAATGGATGAGTAAGGCAGAAAACTAAGATACTCTTGAAAATTCAGTCTTGTGAAGACTCACAAACGAATTACAATAGAAACGTTTAGACATACATGAAGGAAGATGCCAACAATGAAACCAAAAGTATTAATATTTGTTTATACATGCAAGAAAAACGAGAAAATAATCAAACAAAGCGATTGTGGTATAATCTCAGGAAAAGAAAACAAGAACTCATTTCAAAAACCCTACAATTCAATTTGCTAGTAAGCTCTAGTCACGAACAAGAACACGGGAAGACATAATAAAACGAGACCTTTCTTTAGAATATTCTCCAATTCAGTGCAATCCTCGTCTCGCTCACGCGCCAATTCTCTGCAACGTACTAACAACCTCCTTAATCATCCTCCACTCAAATGAAAAAAAACCCTGGCTATATTTAAACAACACACACACACAACCATGCCCTATTCCAAGCTCGAAACTCCAGTGACAGCTCAAACCCAACTTTCACCCACAGCTCAGAGCCAAATAATCACAAGGTAAGAATTCATACAAAAGAGTGGCAGCACGAATGGAGCCATTCAGGTGCGCATGAAGCTCCAGTTTGGGCATGGCCCTGCACATGGGCAGGTACTCGGTCATCAAATCCTCCATGGCCAGCACCGCCGCGTCGTCAATATTCACCATCCCTGGGATGCTCTCCCTGCTTTGCATCGTTTCGCTGCAACTCAGACAGACAACAACAGGAAAAAGAAAACTTTGGCAAAAAACACACGCGACGATCATAACCGAGCGGCGTCGTCGGCGTCGTCGGGATAATTGGAATCGTTGCTGTTTAGAATGTTTTATAGAGAGACAAGAGTAGCTAGAAGTAACATGCACACATATGTTAAGACACACAAGTAAGTTTACTGATAGGGTTGTACTGAAGGGAGAAGATAACAGTTCTCTCCACTACATTCCAAACACTGTAAACAGCTACAGTAAATACTTTAGATTATAGTGAATAGCATGGAGAGCACCGGCTATATTTAATGCTCTCAACACTCCTCCTTGCTTGTCATAATATTTATATGCATAGAAATACTTTAGATTATAGTGAATATCATGGAGAGCACCGGCTACATTTAATGCTCTCAACACTCCTCCTTGCTTGTCATAATATTTATATGCATAGAGTTATGATCTATACTTTTTTGTAATCTCATATGATCAACAATTACTCCCTCATTAAAATCTTATTTAGGAAAACCTTATTCTATTTAAGAACAAAACCATACATGAAGGAAAAAGACTACAACATTGTCTCAAGAGTTCATTAACTTTCTTGTTCAAGAAAAGCAAGTCGATGCATGCGAATGCAATAAGTAAGTCAACAATGGTTGCACAAAGGGAGAGCTTTGGTGAGGAAATCAGCAAGGTTATTTGCAGATTCAATTTTCTTGATCTTAAGTACTTGTTGAGTAACCAAGTCATGGATATAAATAAAATACTTTGGATCAATATGTTTTGCCCTATCTCCTTTAATGAAACCAATTTGCATCTATGCAATACAAGTGCTATTATCTTCATACAAGATAGTTGGAAAGTCATCATATAAAAATCCATAGGTTGTCTGAATGAGTTTATGAATTGATCACAACCAAATACATTCCCGAGATGCTTCATATAAGGCAATAATTTTTGCATGATTGGATGAAGTTGCAATTGTAGTTTGTTTCATTGATTTCCATAATATTGCAGCTCGATGTCTTAAGAATACATAGTCTATTTGAGATTTAGCTATTGTAATATCAGATTTATATCCTGTATTAGAATATCTAACCAATTTTGGATCTGTAGATCGTATGTAGTATAATTTCAAATCTTCAATACCTTTTAAATAACATAATAAATGTTTGACACCATTCTAATGTCGTGGTGTTGGACGTGCACTATGTCTTACAAGAACACTAATTACAAATGTAATATTTGATCTGGTAGATGTGGCTAAATATAAAAGTGCTCCAATCGCTGCAAGGTATGGATATTACTCTCATAATATTTCTTCCTCCTCCTTGTATGGAGAGTATAAATCATGACTATCATGACCACGTCCAATCATTGGTGTAGAGAATGGATAAGCATCAATCATATTGAATCTCCGTAAGATTCATCTAATATAGGTTAGTTAGTAGAAAAAAATCCTACCATCTATGAGATGCATAATCTGAAGACCAATACAAAAAGTTATTTTTCTTAGCATTTTCATCTCAAATTTACATATAAGTAGGTTAATAGCTGGAATGCATGCAGATCTAGTATCCACTAAGTTAAGATCATCAGCATATACAACAATGATCACAAAATTAGTTTTATCTTATTTAATAATCAAACAAGAAATTAGTGGATCACTTACAAATTTATTTATAATTAAAAAATCTCAAAGATGTTGATACCACATGCATCTAGTTTGTTTTAGACCTTATAAGGCCTTGTGTAATTTAATACCATGATATCATCCTGGAGTAGGTGCATTTGGAGTTCTTGTTTTCAAATTAGGTGGAACTTTTATATAAATATCTACATGTCACGGCCATAATCATGTAAGCTAATAATTACATATAGAAATAGGTAGAAGTAAGTAAAAGTAGATAAAAGTAAGTTAATTGTATAATATTTAATATAGAAGCTTCCTAGAAACTTCTTAGACGCTGCTTTGACTTCATAGGTGTCTTTAATTGACTTTTTGGATTAGAAACGTGGTCAACAAGTTGGCCATGTGCCACACATGTTGTTAGCTTGAAGATCAAGCTAACTATGTGGCCCACACGTAGGAAAACTTGCCTTGTAAGTCAAGGCATGTGTCCTACAAAGTCAACACATATTGGAGGTCCTATAGAACGTCGCCACGTAGCCCCTAGTTAGATAGTATATATAGAGACAAGAGTGAAGGCTTCTTCACTCTTGTCAACTCCTTTCTTGCTTCTAGTCCAGGTTCAAGAGTCTTTAGTTTCTTGTCTTGTGGCAATAGCCATTCCAGTTTCCTTTTAATATACCTACTTGTTTATATTTTGACTTATTATATCGAGATAGCCTTTTGGTGTATATTTTTCCTCATCGAGTCTTTGTCCTTGACAGATTGACAAGAGTACACTTACAATATCAGAGCTTTGTTTTTTCTTGAGTAAGAGTGGATTACCCCTTTCTCTTGACAAGACATAAGCGTATTAGAAGTTTGCGGATTACCCACTTCTAAACTGATATTGTTCTTAGTATCTTCTTTGTTATCAAGTCTTTCTTTTCTTTTGTCTTGAGCAATATCAAACAAATTTTTCTTCTTAGTATCATTATGGTAGAACTTGTTGAAATGAAGAGTGCAATGGCACAAATGCAAGAGCAAATGAGGGAGTTAATGCTTGCGATGCATCAACTCAATTCACCAACACATGAAAGAACAAGAATAGCAGAAAGTGGAGATATAGAGATGATCGGAGCTGCTTCAACATCTACAACAAATCACGTTCCTTCTCCAATTGTACAACACCCTATAAGCACTAGAGAACCAAGAATTGCCTTACCTGAGAAATTTGATGGTACGAGATCAAAGTTTCGAGGGTTCATCAATCAAGTACAATTGGCAATTGAACTTCAACCGCAAAGCTATCCAACTCCAGGATCACAAGTCAGGTTTATTGGCACTCTACTTTCTGGTTCTGCATTATCGTGGTTTTCGTCTTTTCTTGAACAACGAAATCCAATATTGGACAATTTGGAAGCTTTTTTGGCGGAGTTTCGATCTATGTATGGTGAACACGATGCAACTCGTGTTGCAACAAATAAGATCCGAATTCTGCGACAAGAAAATCACTCAGTAACAGTATATGCTTCACAATTTCGACAACTTGCAATTGACATCAAGTGGGATGATGCTGCACTCATCAGTCAATTTCTTTATGGATTACAATACGAAGTAAAGAAATTGATGCTCAACTTACCTGATCCTCAAACTTTGAGTCAAGCAATCGATTTTGCGGTAAAATGTGATAATCAACTTTTTGAATTTCGATCTGAGAATCATTCACGGGAACCTCAACGTTATTACTCAATGGCAACATCAACATCTTTGCCAAACGTACATTCGGAAGTAGAAGACATGCAAATTGACGCGGTACGTTTTAAACCTCTAACTGAGCAAGAAAAGATTCGTCGTCGTCAAGAAGGATTATGTTTATATTGCGGAGAACCTAAGCACACTGCTCAACATTGTCCAAAGAAACGACGCAACTATAAAATAAGGGGTACGACGGTCAAAGAAGACAACATGTTGAAAAACGGATTCGTCCAGCTACAATAGGGACCGTGCAGGTGGAACCTTGTATAATTCCTAATGAAGGTCCTATCCTCTCCTCAGAACCCTCTCCTTGTTTTATAATAGACTTATATTTAGGACCTAAGAATTACAAAGCCTCTGCTTTATTAGATTCGGGAGCCTCAGCATGTTTTTTAGATGAACAATTTGTTAAAAGTCGTAAAATACCCTTTGTACAAAAACCTAAACCAGTACATGTAGAAGTCATAGATGGTCGTCCCTTGTCTTCTGGAGATGTCACTCATGAAACTCATCCTATAAAAGTAACAATAGACGGTCATGATAGCTACATAGCTTTTAACATAATTAAATCCCCGTCCAATCCAGTTATTTTAGGTTTATCCTGGCTAGAAAAATATAACCCTCGAATAGATTGGAATTCGCGTAAACTTGACTTTTCCAAAAGCGTTATTAATAGTTCTATGAACCAAGTAAAAAATTATAAGTCTAGTATAGTAAAACCCGTACTGATAGGTGCAAAAGCATTTATACACGCAGCAAAAGAAGGATCAACTTTTGCTATTTATGCTGCACCTATTTCTGAAAACGTAAAGACTTCAAGTGGCATTCCAAGTCAATATCAGGAGTATCAAGACGTTTTTGAGAAAAAGAATGCAGATATTCTTCCTGAGCGTCGTCCATATGATTGTTCAATCGACCTCAAGGAAGGAACTCAGCCACCATTTGGACCAATTTACAATTTATCGCAAGATGAGATGGCTGAACTCAAGACATATATTGACGAGAATTTAGCGAAGAATTTCATACGCCATTCAAAATCTCCAGCAGGAGCTCCAATTCTATTCGTAAAGAAAAAAGATGGATCTTTACGAATGTGTGTTGATTATCGAGGACTCAACAAGATCACAATCAAGAACAGGTATCCATTACCTTTGATATCAGGACTCCTTGACCAGTTGAATCAAGCTAAGATCTATACAAAAATAGATCTAAGAGGAGCATATAATCTAGTACGGATCAAAGAAGGAGATGAATGGAAGACTGCGTTTCGAACCAGGTATGGACATTTCGAATATAATGTCATGCCCTTTGGACTCACGAATACACCAGCTGCTTTTCAACATCTCATGAATGATATATTTCGTGAATTCTTAGACAATTTTATCGTCTGCTATCTAGACGATATCCTGATCTATTCCAAGAACGTCAAAGAACATGAAATACATGTTCGTCAAGTATTACAAAAACTTAGAGATGCAGGATTGTACGCCAAGATGGAAAAGTGTGTATTTCACACTACTCAAGTTGACTTTTTAGGATACATCATTTCAAATGGTGGTCTCATGATGCATTCTAAGAAAGTCCAAACAATCGTGGATTGGAAGATTCCAAGGACGGTAAGAGATGTCCAATGTTTCTTGGGATTTGCCAATTACTATCGGATCTTCATCAAAGATTTCTCACGAGTTGCAGCTCCACTTACACGCTTGACTAGTAAAGATAAATTTCAATGGAATCAAGAAGCGGAAGCAGCATTTGAAGCCTTGAAGACATCGTTTGTCTCTGCACTAGTCTTATATCGTGTTGACTTTTCCAAGGCATTTT